GCGTTCCTGAAGAAGCAACAAGTTACATCATAGATTATTTTTATCAAATATGTTTTATCTTGCATGCAGCATTATTATTTTGCTTGGCAATCCCATGTATTGAAAGTTAAGATGCCTTTTTCAACCAGAGGCTCCTTTCCTTTTCCAGCAGGAATAGTTTTTATGCTATTGTGAACACTGTTCTGATGATTGTAACTTGGTTGCAGTAAACAGTTGCTTAAAAAAATCAGCCTGGTTTGAAAACACTAATATGAATCACATAAAAACATGGCATTCTAAAAGCTCTCATTCTGTGGTTGATTTGAAATGCTCAGGAATAAAGAATGCCTCATCCTTCAAGCCCTTCTGTTTCATTCAGTGAACTTTAAAGTGGCTGTTTGACAGCACAGCAGTGTTGGCAGGAGCAGTGCTTGAGTGCACCTTTTCCAGTACTCAATACTTGGATGATTCTTGACCATTCGCAGAACTGCCTGTACTCCCTTAATTAGAAACAGATGTCCTAAATGAAAAGGGTGATTAGAGCAATGCTAGTGGTTCAGCTGCTAATATCAAATTTCTGGCTGTATTTTGAAGTTCAGTGGGATATTTCTTTGTAGGCATAAAGAAAGCAAATTTCTAAGTTGGGTGTGGAGAAGTGATTACACATTGTGATAAAACAGTTGTTAGACTTAAAAGGCATCAATTCCTTATAGTAACAGTTTTCCTGAAAAGTGTTTAAATAGAACATTTGTAGATTATTTTAAGAGTTTTTCTCTGTGTATTTGTGTGTATGTAGATATGTATGTACAGCCATCTACCCTGCATATGATTGTAGAAAAATTCTGAAAGCAACTGAACTTGTGGATTATGAATTTCGGGCCTTCTGCATTGTCTTAAGTTTTTTGAGTGTTTTTGGTTTTTTGGGTTTTTTTAAATTTTATTTTATTTTCTTGATCTGCAGGAAAGGAGGCTCTTGGGAAATCAGTGTAAAATTCTGATTTACGTGTACAAAAATTCATTTGCATGTACAAAAATGGATAAAATCTATCCCAGAGAATGCCTACTTCTGCTGAATAACAGTTAATATTGCTTGAAATTATTTCACTATTTTTAATCTTTTTAATAGTAGTTCTTGTTGGTTGCTTTATTGGTATTAATTTAAGAAAACAGCTTTATTTGTGAAAGTTTTTGTCATCTTAGCACAGCAGAAACATAAATTGTAATCAGCATCCCAACAAACTAGATTCAACTGTTGTATATTTTGATTTCTGGAGTTTGTCTTTTCCCATTTCCCCTTTTTCCCCAATACATACCTCATGAATTTACAAATATATCTTTGTCTTGCTATTCATCAGATCAACATTTTCATTCTCTTCTTTTCTGAAACTTCAGTTCTGCTTGCTGCCTTAGGAAGTCCTTCACTCTTTCAACACTTCTGTCTGCTACAGGTCTTTGATCACTTCTACTTTCTCTCTCCCATTTATTGTCTTTCTTTAGTCTTTGTTCACCCACATCATTCCAATGAAATTATTCATCTTTTAGGCTTCAGTGGCTTTCTCCTGTTCAGAAACAGTACTATATGTAGTTGTAGATAGATAGATAGATAGATAATGTCAGAAATATTTTTTGAAGTGAATCTTTCCTTAAACCATGCCAACTGCACTTTGGTTCACTTCATGGAGCAGTCTAGGAGCAATCCCAATGGGTAATGGGCATTCAGTCCACAGAAACAGACTAAAACTAGCTGTAAAGCTTACAAGCTGCTGGAATTATATAGTGCAAATATCAGATCTTCAGTGCTGTCTCTCAGTCTACAGATGCATTTATTCTGGTGCACAACATTTCCTAATGCAGATGTGGCCTCTACTGCTGCTCTGGGCTTTGCTGCCCCTTCCCTCCCTCCTCCAGTCTTACCTGTTTCCATATCTGGAATTTGGTTCACCTGCATCCTGAACCTAGGCCCCACCTATGTTCAGCCTGCATCCAGCCCTTCTTGCATCCAGGATTTCTAGCTGGGTGCTCCCTTAAACTGTGACAGAAGCTGATCCTGTGTCCACTTTGACTCTCAGAGCTTCTTAGTTGTGTTACTGCCTGGATACTTTCCTTGTGAAGTAATTATCTGTTTATGGTGTATGTGCAGTGGCTGAATGTCATTCTTCCTCTTTGCAGCACTCCACACATTGCACCTGTCTAGCTATCTTCACACTAACCTCATTTTTTTTGTAAGCCACTTTTCACGAAGTACACCATCTGACCATTTCATCAACTGCTGTTTCATCTGTTGTGTATAGTAGTGTCACAGCTGAAGGATAGCAAGATCTCTGCTTCAGAAAATTCTGAGAAATTTAAGAGCTTCCTTCTTCAGTAAATATACTGTATCTTCCTTCATTTGTGCGGGAAGTACTATATATTTTTGGTTTTGCAAAACTACATTGGGTTTTTTAAGTGGCCTTGTATGCAGCAAGTGTTCATATCTAGCTGTGTTAAGGAAAGTCCTTACACATGTGCATGTATGTTAAAATGGTGTTTCTAGCAGCTTCACTGGTAATGTAATTTCAGAAGTGCTTAAGAACTAACATGTTTCATGTTAGTATCCTGCCACGTTATTTAGACTTATTTTAATACAACACCTAATGTAATGGAAAAAAAACTCGTCTCGCAGCTTTTACACTTGTAAACAAATGCTTCTGCATTGAATCTTGTTTTCTTTAAGAAGGTGATAAAAGCTCAGCTGAGGTATGGGAGAAATCCTTGGCCTTTCTGACCTACAAGCACTTACAGAATTAGCTACTATTGGTTCCATTTCTATCTGCCTGTGGTACAAGTAGTACTCTCTGTGTATTACCCAGCCTGACAGCACTGAAGTCCAGTCAGACCTTAAGAGGAATTTCTTCAAAAAAGGGGTGATTAAACATTGGAATGTGCTGCCCAGGAAGGTGGTGGAGTCACCCTCCCTGGAGGTGCTTCAGGAAAGACTGGGTGTGGCACTCAGTGCCATGGTCTGGTTGACAGGGTTGTGTTTGGTCAAGGCTTGGACTCGATCTCAGAGGTCTTTTCCAGCCTAATTGATTCTGTGATTCTGCAATCCTGAGTTTTTTCCAGGTGACTCATTTCTGGCCACAAATTCTCTTTCTGCTGTTTAATTACCATCTGTTTGCTAATGCCATTTCGTGTCTGTGGTTTGTACGTTTTTCAGGGGCAGGGCTCTCTCCCTGGTAAACAAGAAGTGCCAGATTTATATGGCTGCTAGCAGTATGTGTTCACTGTGCTGCAGGGGGCAAATTAGGACTGTATCAAAGCACATAATTTGAAATTTCTGGGAAGATAACCTTATATCTAAATCAGGCAATGAATATGCCTGCAGAATAGAAAATGGACTCTGGTGTCTGAGGATTAGCTATTTAATTATATTGGGGGGGGCTTTCTAAGTATATTTCTATTTTGGGTGTATGCTTGCAAGTATATAAATGCAAGAGTCTCCTCTCTCCAGTGAAAGCACACACACACACACAAAACATGCAGTGTTCATTACTTAACTACTTATCAAGGAAGATTTTTTGTTTGTTTGTTTTGCTAATGTAACCGGAAGAATGCTCCAAAAATACTCAGCACAGTAATTGAATCAGAGGAAAATCAAAGGGGTCATCTGTTGCCGTGTCTGTTTTAGCTCTCTGTTTAGGATATGTTTCAAGATGGGTTTGTTTGTTGGGTGTTTTAGCAACATCTGTTCCAACTCTTGTTCTCTGTGTGTGTGTGTGTGTATGTGTGTGTGTGTGGAGGGAGGATGTTTAAGGTCTGTTAAGCCATTTGTTCAAACTGGCTTTGCAGCAGCATCAAAGAAATTTGAAAGGCTACAGCAACTTTTAAGGGGGAAAAATGTCCAAAGAAATAGAAAGCAAATATGCCACACTTAGATTTTTGAGAGATGTTTAATTAATACTCAAGAGGATTTTTACTTTCAAATAACCTCTAAGGAAAAAGGTCATTAATATAAAAGAAGTAAATAATTTTACTGAAGGTTACTGAAAAAAATCCCAACTTTCTGTAGTGTGCTAAAGCTTAGTTAATGCAGTTTTAAAGAAAAAGTATTAACTTGAAATTACTGAATATTGACCTGTTAATGGCAGCTTGTTATTAACAGTTGTTACTTCCTGGCCATGCTGGGATGGTGTTTGATGGTATTTGAAGAAGAGATATGCAAAAAAGAGGAGTTTTAGGTATTCTTTAAGGAGACCTTAGTGTTAAAGGCTATCCAAGAGGGATCAGACATGTTGTGATGGAAGACCATGTGGATATTTCTCGTAAGTTGGTCTTTTGTGAATTCTTTTCTGAGTGTTTTTGACAGTAAAAAGTTTGATACATCTTGCCTCAAGTATGTTACTTCATTCAGTTCTTAGTATTTTGCTTCTGAAGCTACGGATTTCTTTTTTATTTACTTAATTTTTATTTTTTTTTGTGGCATCTGGATTTAATTTCTGGATGCTGCCTCACCAGTGCAAAGGAGGAAGTACAGAATTTGGACTAATCTGCTGTAGGAAGATCAAAATATACATGAATTACTGTTTTAGTCTTGTCTGCTGAGTGTATAGACTGTTTGTGTAGCAGATGATTCATAGCTTTGCTGATACCTCTGTGGGGTTTTGTGTTTTGATTTGCATCTTAAAAGCTTAATTAAAAAAAAAAATCTACAAACCAGTCTAACAGAGTTGCATAGAAATATGTAAGAAAACAGATGGACAGAAGCTTTTTCACTGCAGCCTATAGATGAACAACTCCTGCAAAAATCTATAAACTTAATTTAAAATATATATTCCTCTAGATTGACAGGACTTTATATTGTTTATGTTATGTTAGCTTTATTGTTGCAGACTTGGGAACATTTGTTCTTGATGCCACTCTTTTCCAGCACTTTTGAAGTCTGTGATAATTAATTATGCCTTCTGTAATAGATGAGTGACTTGAACTTATTGATACTAGTCTTAAAATAATCCTTTTCCTTTTCTTTCTTTTTCCAAAATTAGATAATATACCTGAGAGAATCCCCAGAAGATGTGTACAGGCTTATATTGGCAGGAAGTGTTTCATATCTTCCTTTCAGGTAAATAACAAGCTGATAGAGCCCTCTGTGCCTTGATATTTTGAAGAAGAATGTAGCATTTTTCAGTACTACGTTGTGTTGGAGTTTCTTTGTGATGAAGTTTTTTCATGGGACACGTTCCCTTTGTGGACTTAAAGTACTCAGAGAGTAGGGGTGTCAGGAGCTGGTGCTGAAGTGTGCTGGCATGAGATGGAGCCACACTGCTTTGTGTGCGCTCTCCTTGAGCTTTTTGATCTGCGTTGCTTCTCATTTAGCAGTCTGATTTTGTGCCAGTAGTTGACAGTTGATCAAAATATCTGTCATTCCCCACAAATGGCTTGTAACACTGAATAGCATCATCATGACTGGGCTTCATGAACGAAGATTTGGGAAGGGCTCTACCCACGTTTGTTACAAACACACTGGTGGCTTATGAGGCCAATACGAGACAGACACGTCCAGTTGCAAAAGGCACAGCAGAAAGACTCCTGAGGTGGTAAATTCTGCAAGACACGATTCTTTCTGCGCTGTCTTTTCTCCTCCAGGGTGATCCTGCTGCGTTCTCAAAGGCATCAGCAGCGTTATAGATGGTGTGTCTGCAGACCTCCCGATTGGAGGCCAGAGTAGACCAGTTCTGGTGATCAATATGGCCAAGGCTGAGATGTTGTTTCAGGCAGTCCTTGTATCTCCTCTTTGGGGCTCCTCTCTTGCGGCAGCCGGTGGCAAGTTCACCATAAAGCAAGATCTTAGGGAGGGGGTGGTTGGTCCTTCATCCTGGAGACGTGCCCTGCCCAGCACAGCTGTGTTCTCAGCAACATGGCCTCAATGCTTGTGACTGCTGCTTGTTCTAGAACAGATGGATTGGTCCCATAATCTGAGCAGTGGATGTTTAGGATTGTACGGACGCAGCGTTGATGGAAGCGTTCGAGGAGTTGCAGGTGGTGGCTGTAGATGACCCAGGATTCAGATCCATATGAGAGAGCAGACAGCACTATGGCTCTGTAAACACTGATCTTGGTGCTTTTCTTCAGGTGTTTATTTCACCAAACTCTTTTATGAAGTTTTCTGAAGGCACTGTATGCCTTTGCCAACCTGTTGTCTCTCTCCCCATCAATCTTCCCATCTGAGGAGATGAGGCTGCCCAGGTAATTAAACTGTTGGACTGATTTGAGCTCTGATTGGCCAATGGTGATGTGGGGATGATGGGGGACTTCCTGAGGTGCAGGTTGATGGAGAACTTGTGTCTTCTTTAAGCTGACTTCCAGCCCAAAGAGCTCAGCAGCCTCAGCAAAGCAGGATGTTAAACACTGCAGAATCCAGGGGCAGCTCTGGGCAACCTGTGACAGGGCCTTCCCACCCTCACAGACTAAATAGCATCCTTTATGCACCAAGCAGTCTCTGCAGATTGCTGGGCTTCCCACAAGGGGGGAGTTGTCATCAGTGCATCCAAGGAACCTCTTGGATTGCCTGTGCCCTGCTGTGCTGTCCCTTCAACAGATATCAGAGTGGTTGAAGTTCCCTGTGAGGACCAGAGCCTGTGAATGTGAGGCTGCTCCTGTCTGTCTGTCTGTCTGTACAGGGCTTTGTCCATTTGTTCTTCCTTCCTTGTCGGGTGGTCTGACAGACAGCCACTACAATGTCACCTTTGTGTGTCTTTTCTTCTACCTGAATGGGGTTCTGCTATTTCCTTTTCCTGCTGATTTCTGCCCCACTCACCTTTCACAGTGATTCAGAAGGAAGGAAAGGCTAGAAAAAAATTTTAGAGGCAGCCATCCAGGTACTTCAAAAGTTCTTCCTCCTGTCAGTTAAAATTGAACATAATACATTTTTTACTTATTAGAAACATTAGCAATTCTCTGTTGATAAGGACTGCATGGTCTCAAAAGAAGATGTTCTGCCAAGACATAATATTCTCTGATGTAGATTCAGTTTAATTTATTTATTTACTTGACTAAAGTGTTCCTGTAGAATGCTTACTCTGCAGTGCTTATGGAATCTAATAAAGGTCACTTAATAAGAATATGCCATTCCTGGATCAACAGAATTTAAAACGTTGTTGAAAGAAGGGATTTTAATGAAACTGGTTTCTCCTCTTGTTTAAATATAAACTATTTATGCATCTTAAGGGAAGTGTTTTATTGTATCTACACCAATGTTTATCTTGACAGTTTCGGTAAGAAGATGCTGTTCACATATACAAAGAGTGCATGTGCACAGTCTCTTTCTTCTTTTAAATGGAGCAGTGTATTAAAATCTTACTTTTTTGAAAGTATGCTTCAGAGGAAAATATTCAAAGAATGTGTGTTGGAATATGACACTTATTCAGGAATTAGCTTTTGCCATAAGGCGTTTGTGTTGTCTGTTGTTTCTTGATGAATACCAAAATATGCCAGTTTTGCTATTCATGTCAGAAATAGAATGTCAGCTTTACCCAAAACTGTAGCTGGAGTAATCTTACTCTTGTATCTGTTAACATAACTTATTTTATGTTTTGTTATTGTTGTAAGATGCAAGGTGGGTAATGAAGTAATCATTTGACATAATTATTTCACTATAATAGTAATTACCTTGAAGCAGTTTTTTAAAGGTGTTTTAGAGAAGTATCTTCAACTGGTTTCACTTGGATTAAAATGGAATAATTACTGGTTTGGTCATCATATCTTATAGGGATGCTTCCTTTGGTACTTGCAGTTTTCATCTGACATTGCTGGACTGTTTTCATGCAATAAACAAGGTCAGTGAACTAATATTTTTCATATTGCAAAAAGTTAGCTAAGTATTGCCCATTAGAAAAAGAATGTTTAGGAAGCTGGGATCCAATTAGAGCTGTGAAGTAGCAGGTTTCCTGATTGTTTCCTGGCTTATTAGGCATTGTAACAAAACTGGATACAGCTTCCATAGAAGTCAACAGATACCTTATATAATCAACTAGTGAAGATTTCAAAGTGAGAATTTTGAGATTTATTTTTGTGATAAAATAAAGGATGGTAATTCACACCTCTAATCCCTCAGAGTTGCGTGTTAGGTTTATTATATGCCCATGCTCCCCCAGTATTAAGTTTTAGGCTGAATATAGCCTTTGGAAGTGGTTTTGAATTGGTTAGTCAGACACTTCAGGCATTTGCAGCACATGCTAATGATTTCAAGTTTTGCTTTAGTAATACAAATAGAACAAATGTCAGGAGGTAGGTGCTTATTTTATCTACAAATTACCATAATTTAGTGTTTTATAGCAATACAGTGATGCAGTAACATATTGAAGGACAGGAGAATTTAAACACCTTCTTTTTAGTCTGTATGAGTAGTGAAATGGGGAATTCTGCAGCTCTCCATCCTACTACTGTCTTTTGTGTTATGGATATCTTTGTCAAATTCTAGTGTTTTCACTGGTTAAGTCAGCTTCTTGCAGATTTGTGATTTTCAGCTTTTTTGGATGTTTTGAAGGCTGCTTGTATGCCAAGAGTGGTGCATTGCTGTTCTTGCTGGAACAGCAAGGAAAACTACAGAAGATCACACAGTGGAAAACTAGACTGTATGATTTCAAATACCTGGAGCTTTGGCATTATCTGTGTTTGTGCCTCCTGATTTAACAAGTGGATAAACTATCAGTTACCCAAATGATTACATTTCTGCTTTAGAATGTACTCCTGACTTCAATAGATATTTTTTGCCAATTTATTTCCCTTTTTTTTTTTAATTTTGTGCACCTAGCAGTAATAAAAAGGCTGAATGCTTCAGTAATCTGCGATTTTGTAGTGATTCATTGAAAAAAAGAAAAAAATCTATTTATTCATCTTCACTTGTATTGAAATTTGCAAATCTGTTTTGAGCCAAGACTGAGTTGACCTGTATTTCTTCAATCACATGAAGGAAGCTTTTTGAAAGAATAGTATGGGTATTAAGGGACTTTCAGTAACTAAAAAATGTGATAAACTGTCCTCTTTGAAGAGGCATCTTTGTTAAAAGCTGTGTTCTGAATTTTAGGCTTTGCAGTATGGTTTCCTGGATTTTAGTACGTTTGATGTAAATGAATATGAGCATTATGAAGTAAGTGTTCAGTATGAGTATTTTGATTTGTTTGCTGTTACTAATGCTAAAGTGATTGTTTATAATTTGTGCTATTTTTTGTAGTATTAAGTTCCAGTTCTGTTTTATCTTTTAAACTATAATGCCAATTCTACTAGTTAAATAAAAGTGCATGGTCAGAGAGAATATTAAAATTCAGATTTAAGCATAATTGGGCTCAATCATGGAGGAAAGCAGAAACCAAAATGGAAGTAAATACTTTTTTCTGTTATTAAACCCTAGAAGTTGATCAGGAGTGTGAATTTGGACGCCTTTTAGAGGTCATGCATATTCTTGAGCAGTCTTGATGAAAAACTGGAGGGCATACAAGCCTGAGCCTGACTGAATGCTGGAGAACAAAGTGAACACAGGGCAAAAGTATAGTAACATGCTTTGAGGTAAAGAAGGAAACAGGGCTGGGAAACCTCAAGTGCATAAAGTTCACTTTGGGGCCTAGGAAATGATTGTGACAATGAAGGACTGCGACTCCTGACTACATACAGTTTCAGAAATGCAAAGCTGCCAGTTACCTGTAAAGAGGAAATCTGAGTGTTCTTACGACCTAAAAAATCATTATTTAAATTGTGAACAGAGGTGAGGTGAGACCAATAATTTAGAAACCTATACAAAATTAAAAATTGGAAGTTGCCCTTTGTCTGAAGGGCATGAGTTGTACTGTTCTAAAACCCTCATTCAGAAAGACGAGAACACAGACAGGAAAAGTGAGGCTGAGAGCATCTGCCATCCTCAGGATGAAAAAGAAAGCAGGCAACTAACATAACTTCCTTTGACAAAAATTGTGCATCAATTCTATCTAGCATGTATTTTGAAACAATAAGGAAAATCCTGAAAATACAGGGATAATGATAAACCAAGCATTTTCTCTTGACAGAGAGCAGAAAATGGAGATTTTAACTGGATAATACCAAACAAATTCATTGCCTTCAGTGGACCTCATTCAAGGAGTAAAATTGAAAATGGTATGCTTAAAAAAGGAGGTGGGGGACATGAGCCCACTGCTTTCGTAGTTGATTGTTATCAGTAAGAACAAGCTTTGAAAATTGTTCCTCAAACAGTGTGTTTTTTCCTTGGCTCTTTTCCTTTTATAAGAACTCTGGCAGTAACATTGTAATGCTTGGTTTAATTGTATCTGACCTAGGCAATTCTGTTAGAATTCCATTTTCGGTTAGTCCGTTTCTTTGTGTTCAACATGAGTTCTCTTTTGAGAGTTTTTCATCTCTTGTTTTTTTTAGTCTTTGTTTATTTCTGCAGTTTGAGCCTCACTCACTTCCTTTTCTTTTTTTTTCCCCCCCTTCTTTTCTCAAACAGGCTATCCCCACCATGCTCCAGAGGCTTATTTCCCATACTTCAGGCAACACAAGGTCACCACTATAATACGCCTCAACAAAAAACTCTACGATGCCAAACGATTCACAGATGCTGGATTTGAGCATTTTGACCTCTTCTTTGCTGATGGAAGCACCCCTAGTGATACTATAGTTAAAACATTTCTAAACATTTGTGAAAATGCTGAAGGTGTTATAGCTGTTCACTGCAAAGGTACAGTGTGAAAACCAATTTGTATTACAAGTGATGCCTATTAGTTACTGTTCCTGAGGTATTTTGCACTGTAATTCTGTTTTATCTAGTTAATAACATCTCTGCCAAACTGCAACTATTCCATACCAATTATTTCCATACACATTATTTTCCATTTGAATTATTTCTATATGGTTCTGTTCGATACTTCATTTTCTAATTTTTTTTGGAGTTCCAGAAAAATCTTCCCAGCTGTTCCCAAAAATGAGGATGGAGAAAGTGAGCTTTCCAACATTAACAGCTCTTTCTGCTAGAAAGTGTTAGCACTTTCCAAGGATGCTTTTGAGCAGGAATTTGAACTCCTGGCAAGGTTGTTAGGTCTTTCTAAAAATACATGATTAAGCAGACAAATCATAAACTTCTGAAAATATCAGTGCAGCTTTTGGAGGACATTCCTCAAAAAATGTGAGGAAAAATTGTCATCCCTCATAAACTCTGTGTACTATTGCAGATGCTCTGAATATTTGTTCCTCGAGAGCTGGACTGCCAGTTTTTTCAGAGCATGCCCAGTGTAGGTAATGATGCAGTTTTCTGTGATTATAAAGGCAGTGTGTTTCCCTTCCCACACCATCTTTAACAGTCTTATAAAATATTTCTTCTGAACACCTTTGCTTCAGTAGCATACTTGATAATGCTGTTATTGAAGGAGAAGGGCCTTTTCTTAACCTGTCTGCTTTGGACTTGCAAAGACTACATTTTTGCTCCTGGATCTACCATCCATTTGCTGCATTTAACAGAGTTATACTGGGAAGTGAAAGACTTGTTAAAACCAGCATTTTGACTATTGGCATAAAAGTGCACACTCTTATTCCTCACTGAGGTGATAAATTCAGGTATATCACTTAATTGGTTATGCCAGAATATTGAGTATCAGTGGTACAAGTGCTTTGTTTTCATTCAAATTAAGATATTCTTTGATATATGTCTTACTGATGGTGTCTGGGCTAGTTTTATGGTCCTCAGCCTGCTCTTGAGAAAGAGTAGAATGCTGTAGCCTGTTCTTGAAGCTGCACAAGTCATGGAAAGTGCTGTGTGGTTGTCTTGGCTGTTGGGTTATACACAGGATTTTCCAGTGGTGTTGGTCAGTCAGTGAGGTGTTAAATGGGAGAAGGTGGTGGGTGATTTGACATTTACAGCAAGTGATTGAGGAGAGGCACCACTTAGCTGGAGCTGTCCTCCTTTCCTTCTTATGTTTCCCAAGGTAAACAAAACTGGTTTGAGGGCCATTGCAAAGGTTTCTCATTCTGAAGTACTTTTTGCCTGTACCAGCTAGCACCCCAGACTTGCTTATTGCAAAATTTTTCTTTTTCTTGGGATCTAAGGAGATTAATTAGAGGAGGGACTGGAAGAGCATCTGGTTTCAGTGCATGATCTGTTTGCAAGAAGGTGGTGTGAGAATTCGGAAAAAAAAAAAAAAAAAAACCAAAACCAAGCCAGCTGTTTTATCCCATGCATAAAAACATTCCATACCTACACACATACATATTCATAGATAGGTAAATAAAGATAGACTTATGGATATTTGTAAGGTTGCTGGCTTTGGAATGTTACCTCCCTTAAAAAACGTGAACAGTAGCCTTGTATATGAAAAAAGTATCAAAGGGTGAGTTGCACTTAACCAAGTTTGACCAGTAAGGGTTTGTTTAATAAACTGGGCAAGGAAGAAGTAACAATGTCTGCAGTTACACAGGTTCCAGGTGAAGAGGGTGTGTAAGAGAAGCCTTTCTTTTATTTTACACAGCTGGTCTTGGCCGAACTGGCACACTTATTGCCTGTTATATCATGAAGCATTATCGGATGACAGCTGCTGAAACCATTGCCTGGATTAGAATAAACAGACCTGGTTCTGTGATTGGGCCACAACAACATTTCCTGATGGAGTAAGTCAATTAACTGGAAATTATTTCCAAAAATAAATCTAGATGTCTTCTTCTTCTTTTGTGCACTTAATAATCTTCAGTGTTAATTTGTTTTGTTTTGGGCCTTTTTTTCCATGTTATGATAGCAAACAGGCAGAGCTTTGGACAGAAGGGGATATTTTCCGTGCAAAGTTGAAAGGAAACCATAAAATTGCTGTAACAAGAATTCTGTCAGGAGTAGATGATATTTCAATTAATAACACGAGAAACAGGAGAAGCATCCAAAAGGACATTGAACTGGTAACCATCCAAATATTGTGCTCTTGTAAAAGCTGGAACTTGTTGAGAATCTCTCAGGTTCTGAACAAACCTGTGGATACACAATGAAACACTGTTAATGAGATTCTATTTGTGTTTGCCCTTTTTGTATAAAGGAATATGGGGGGGGGGAAGTGTGGACAGCAACTGTGAAAAATGAAGTTCAGAACACAGGTGAATTAGGAGCATCATTATCATGCTTTAGTAATTTAGTAAATAATAGACCAAAAAAGTACTCACAATCTGCAATCAAAACCACTGTGATTTCATTTTGGATTGTCTGGTGCTTCATTCTGTGTGTTTAAAGGAAAGGGATGAAAGGTTTTTTACTCTTTTTAGTTTCCAAGTAATCGAAACTTCTGTAATACCTTTTATAGTACCTTTTAAAAAGACTGTACTGCTGTTTTAAAAAGGCAAGTGAAGGAGGGAAATGCTGTATTGTTCTGTACCTAAGCAAAGATTTGACAGTATATTATTTCCACTGTTTAAAAGTAGACAATATTCTGATGCATGTAATTCATGACACCACCTAATGGTTTACAGCTTCAAAAGCAGCAAACAGGAAACTGGAAGGAACAGAACTGTATTTATGCAAGTGAATTTCCTTTGCCTTTTTTTCCTGTTGGGATAATTTTAATTCTAAGAGTTAAGATAAGGTTAATTCTTAAATATCAAGGTACCTGTGTTTTAATCTTGGTTTATCCCTTCCCCCCATCCATTATCCAGTACAGTGATGATGATGAAACAAACTGTTTAACACAAGGGGATAAACTTCGTGCTCTGAAAAGCAGAAGGCAAGCAAAAGCTCCAGCTGCATCTCCATTAGCGTAAGTTGGTTTAAATCTTTAAATGTTTAAAATGCCAGAAACACTTTGATCCTCTTCTTTATGCATATGTTTGTTGCCAGGGCTGCATTTACTCCCTTAGAACAAACCCGGGGTTCACCGTTTCTCCCAAGGCTTGGTGCTGAGGAGAGCTTGGTTAAAGAACTACATGACTGAATTCCTGGTTCTCTGCATACTTTTGGATTCTAGTAGTCTGTACTTTACAAGCTCCCACAGGATTTCTGAATGCTTTACTTTGAGTTTAGTCACAAACATTCTCTTGTCTTTGCTGTAGTAGTGTAAAAACGGAAGACTATGACCATGTGTGGTTGATTGGATCAAATAAGGTATGTGCTGGTGTTTGAAGTAAAGTCAGCCAGCCAAAAAGGAGTTGAAGGAAGGATTTTTAGCTTCCCTTACGTTTTCTCTTCCTTGGAGAGGAACTTTTCCTAAATCCTATGGGCCTCTGGAAGGCAGAGTAGCACTGTTCCAGTAAACAAATTCAAAAGAAGTGAATTTCTGTCAGGGAACATGGTATGGTGTCTCTTTATTGTAGACAAGACCCGAAACACCACCTGTAAAAGAAAGTTGGCATCTGTTGTAGCTTGTAGCAAGTGTAGGTAGAAAAACTTTTAAATAAACTGCAAGAGAATGCAAGGCTTGCAAAACATAGCTGGATCTCATTTGATTGCTAGGAAAGGAATGGTGACCTCTGTCTGTCAGATTTTTGAGATTGACACAGCACCAGAGTCACAGACCACAGTCGACTTGGTTTGTGTTGTGCTGTCCTTCTGTAGGGGATGATGCTGCTACCTGCTGGCATTTTTTTTCCTTCTTTCTTGTTCTTCTTTTTGAAGATCACCAGTGTCATCAGACTTTTAGAACAAGTGAGAGGTACATAGTAAAATGTGCTGAAGCCAAAGGAATATTTCCTCGGAAACTTTCACACGTTGCTACGTGTGATTCCTGCTTTTGTTTTGAAATACTCTCTTTTGTTCGTGCTCATCATTTACACAGGTGATCACACAAGAAATAACACGTTTGGAACAAAGCCTGTAGCCAGCTTTAAAAAAACACAAAACTCATCACCTCAGTTACCTCAAATAACACAGGAAAAAACAGCTACCTTGCACATTGGTTTCTAAGGCACATAAGTGCCTTAGTTGCTACTTCATAATATTTTTTTCATAAAAGGTACTTTAAGTTATATCATTAAGGTTGTGAAAGATCCTTTTTATCCTATGTTCCATAGAGTGAATGTAGGCTATGTGATAACCTGTTCAGAGCCATTGTCTTAATATGCAGGAAATCCATCAACTATTAAAATATTATTCCATTCATGACACGTTCTGCAACATGGCTGCTCTAATTAAATTAAAACTAGTTAGCTTGTACTTGTGTAGAATTACAATAATTGCCCTAGAGCTTACAGCTGGTTTTTATAGTGTGCATTGGGGCTCAGGGAGTTTGAATTTACCTCATCCTCTTCCCCCTAAGTTATTTGTATGGTTTCCAACTTGTACTCAAATAATTTGGTGGAAAATGGGTGTGTAACTTCATACCTTCTTTGTGATGCTATTGTTTTATCTCTAGGAATATTTGTCTGCCTTACATGGGTCCGAGGTTTTTCCTACTAGAAGAGGTGTCAGTCTCTTTCCTTTATAGTTCAGACTGTTAAAAATAACTAGCCTTGCAGTGAATTTGATTACTTTTATGTAAACAGACAAACAGAAGCTTTTAGATCTCCTATGTAGTTTTATTTCAGAGAAGAAAAAAAAAAACATAACAGAGGAGGGCAAAATAGGAGTACCAGAAGCTGGGACAGTTACAGTCTTTGAAAATTAGAGGCATTACTTACACTTAAGTCACAGGGGATTTATGTAGAATGTTTATTGAAGTTGGTTGTATAAACTCTTTCTGCTTTGATGAATGGATACTCTCTATATGTTGTGATTGACAATATTCTACACCTTTTGGCAAAGGATTATGAGTTGGCTTTTGCTTCTTTGGACACAGGAAGGTGATACATGCCATCATCTGGATGTTTACATAAATTGTTTGTTTCTGCAATCTTATCTGGCTCTGATCTTATGTTTTAGTATTAAAATGTATGATTGCGAAGTAGGATATATGAATATATGAATACAGGATATCAGATGGCAGCAAGTGATCAGAGATGTATTGCTCCTGCATGCACTTATGTTCAAGAGTGATACAGACTCCCTTTGGAATAATGACTATAGTGAGGATTTCAGGAAATTTACTTTGATTCCAGCAAAATATTGGATATTACATTCGGCAAATTACAGCTGCAGGAATTGTTAGTAAGTAAGAAAATGCTTGGCAGAGGTTGTGGAGCAGTATGCATTTGAAGAACCTGAAACAAGCTAAAATGCACCAACAGCTTTTGCTTTTGAATTTTTGTTCATCTTTTCCTCCCCCCTCCAACCCCTTTTATAGATGGTTCCTAGGTATGCTGGTGTCTACACTGTGTAGCATTGTCATCTGGTGGATTATTTGTGGCTCCCTCCTGCCCAGCCTGCTATTCTGTCTAGATGGTTTAAGAACATAGTAACCATCAGGACCCCCTGAGAGAGAGCCACTGTGTAAGTGTCCCATTCCATTTCTCTACAATAGCTCACACTTTCTGTCTACTGTGTCTCATAAATGCATGTTCCCATGTTCATGTTTCTCACTGGCTTTGTTGCAAGGGAAAATTTCACTGCTCTGGCTTTGTTATATTTTTCTATATATTACTTGGAATAATTGAGAGATTTTTATGGCTGCCTTGCAATAAAAAAGGTGCAGAGCTCTTATAATTAGAATAATCTATAATTTTGAAGGCTTTCTTCTCTGCATGCTCCTGCAAATATGCAAAACTACATAAGCAAAACTAGCTGTAGAAAGTTAAAAATACTGCTTTAAAATATATCCTATCCTTTGCATATTGCAGTTGAAGGTGTTAGCTTCAGTTTTACTTTGAAATTCATGAACTTGCAAAGGAGGTTAGTTTCCCAAAGGATGGTTTTATTCCCACGAAATGCCAGGAATTAGAATTTGTTAGAAATGTCAGTAGGTCTTTATTTATATAAAGAGATTAAATGTTATATGCCATGGCATAAAACACGACTTCTTTTTTCCTTTTTAACATAACAGAAGATGGGGCAGGTTGCAGTGTTAGGTCAAGGCTCACTGGTTTACCCAGCCAGTCTGGTTTCATCCTCTTTTGTTCTCAATTATTTTTTTATAGAGCTTTATGAGACTACTTAAATCCCTTTATTCTGTTACTTGGATTCAGGATCTAAGAAAAGCATTAATAACACAGCAGTTCCTTGAGTACAGTTTTCACTCTTTATCCACTCTGCTTCTGTCAGAGTGGCTGCAGTGATTGCTGTGCCTTGCTTCCACTTTAAAGGTGCAATGTTTTCATCAAATGACAACTTACATCTTTTGGCTAAACAGAAACTTCCTCAGCATGCAGAACTGCCAGGAAATCCAGATGAACTCTTTGCTGGCTTCTGAGTCTCCCTGGAGCTCTTCTGTCATCACCACCCTCAGAGTGAGATGGTTATTTAGGGTGACTGCTTGAAATCTTGGTGCTCTTGCAGAATAAAAATGGTCAGAAGGTGTTTTACATGAGTAAGTAAGAATAGGCATTCTCTCCTGGCAGAACATGAAGATTAAGAGTTTGTCTCATCCTTACCTTTGGCCTTGCAACTTTTTGTCTGCACTTTTAAAATGCAGACTAATAACTGAAGAATGAGAACTGGGGGACTTGTGGACAGCTTAGTTATTCTATTAGCCTTGACTGAGGTCATCTTAACCTGTTCTTTTGGAGAAAAAAAAAAGATAAAGAAGTAAAGGTCACTTAAACTTTGTTTATTTTTCCCCCTAACTCTGTCAAATAACATACTTAGATGAGAGGCTTGTTTTCAGAGTTTTGCACCAAATGTGCATTATTTCTTGTCTCAGTGATCTCCAAAAGTCAGACTTTAGATTTCTGAACTCATACTGAAAAGCTGAACTTACAACACAGATTCAAGAGAATGAAACAATCTGTGCTTTGTTTTGCTGTACTGTAAGATCAACTTCACTCAACTCTCCTTTCTTTCTTTTGCTGTTTCTGTGTTCAACTAAACACTCCCATGCTTAGAGGGAAAGAGGGAAGATTGAGGTTGGTAAATGTGATGCAAGCAACTGGGTTACTGGTGCTACTCCTTCATATTCAGGATTAACAATCATACAATGTTCGTTTAAATCGAGGAAGAGAAAACACTTGAGGTTTTCTTAAAATCTAACTCTTTCCATTATCCAGCTAGTGTCCCCTGTGTTTTGAGGGATCAGATTATCAATCAGGATCATGAATCTCTCTGGACTAGCCTGGCAGTCCTGTTGGCTGGAGCCCTGTAGGCTGAAGAGTATCAGTCACTTGTTGCCTGTCAGTGACTTGGAAAAGTGGTCAAGGTCTCAGGTCTATTTCCTAAAACTCACGCGGTGATGAAGGAGAAAGCAGTATTGGACTTGTCAAGACTAAAATGCCCATTCCAAGACAGAGAAGACATACAGCTGTGTAAACTGTCTTTACCTCATCCCTTCTTAGGATACTGTAATCACTTTTAAAATATGTTGTGTGGATTGATTTCTCTCCAATATGTATTTATTACCTTGCTGACTTTGTCTTGGGTTATGTGGTTTGGGCTTTTGTGTCCTGGTGATGTACCTGTGTACCACCCTTGCTCTGAGTTAAGTGGTGAAAAAAAGCTGTGAATTATTTAAAAGATGCTGCCACTGATCCAAACACTGTTCCATTGAAACAGGTTTTGCTTTGTTTATAAATCAATGTACTAGCTTGATTAATAAAGCATCTCATAGTCTGCTCTTTGGGGCATGTATTTAGGATCAGAACTACCAAGTGATGTTTCCATTACAGATTAACTGGAGGTGACAAATTCTTCCAGTGTGTGTTCAGTAGATATTAGTGGATATTACAACATCCTGTAGCCTGTGTTTAGAACACAGGCACCCCAGGATACCATTGGCCTTCTTGGCCACAAGGGCACACTGCTGCCTCATATTTCAGTTCATGTTAGATAAGTTCACGGGTTTAAGCCATTGTGCATTGACTTGTTTTCTGAATTCCTGATATCTAGAAAAAATGGGCAATGAGAGTAAGATTATACATATTAGGTTATGTTCCAGTAATTTTTGTTTTCTTGTATGTGTGCATTACATGCATTTTATACAGAGAGACACCAAATGGATATATTTAAGGAGGAAACAAAATTTTTCCGTATTTCTGTCTGCATGAGCACTAGTAAACCAGTATGTGCTGTGATTTGGTCATGCATGTATTTCAGTGACTAAATATTATGAGGGTAAGCTCTCTTTGTACTTTTCCCTTCAGTCCTAGAAGCTGTGAGCAGCACAGATGAAAGGTACAGTGCAGGTCTTCTTTCACCACTGGTGTCATTTCCAGTGTTTAGTTGAAAGTGTGGTAGACCAAATTTGTTCATGCTGTAGGACAACTGTGGCACTGAAAACAGAATTTTAATATTGGAACTTGTAGGAACTGTTCTGCACTCACAACAGAAACTACAAAGTGAACTTTCAGGATCTGAATGTTTTCACCTTGGGCACACAAGGAAAACATATTTTCCTTAGAAGAATTTGTGTTGTCTACAGAAGCACAATGTGATGTTGAAGGTATCTGGGTTGCAGTTTTTTCTGCCTCTTGTGTAAGTCCTTCAACTTTGAATGTCCTGTGTTTACAGCAGAATTTGCTTTGTATTTTAGTAGTACTTCTCATTACAGTCTTATCTCAGAGGAACTCACGGGTTTGTTTGAACTTTTGCAAATCAAGTTACAATCTTTTGCAAGGCTGAAATAATAAGACTTATTCAAGCAGAATTTTTAAAATTCTTGAAATTTGTGGTTGTGTAGTAATTTGTTTGCTAAACAATCAAGAAGCGTGTGGTAAAAATTTGCCGATCAGTTTTGCTGCATAAAGAGTATATTTTAGATGAAATTGTATTATCTCCAATGCACATTCTGATTCTGGAATGAAACCCATATAAAACAATGAAAACATAGGGGTTTTTTTCCATTTCTGCTTTTGGTGAGTATGCTACATGAGTATATAAAAGTATATTTTCTCCCATTTCTTCCACTTTTTCCTCCAGAAGTTAACATTCTCTATTCACATTTAGGATTCCTTGAAAATAGTTTCTTCAGGGTATTAACCAACCAAACTGTAATTTATCCAACTTAAATGAAGTTTTTGATTTCCAGTCTAATATAATCTGCTGACACAACTGGACTCAGTGAAGCCACTAAAAATTAGAGTCAAAGAACAGCAGGGGAATAAATACTAATAGCTAAGTTACTCTTAGCTCTGAATCTCTAAAAAGATGCATACTTTTATATTTGGAACCTTGCACAAGTAGAATGACTAGAGAATAGATGTATGAAATGGTGCACCAAGTAGATACCCATGGACTCCATTGACCAGTTGTCACTTTTTGTTCCCATAGTATCGTAATTTCACTACATGGTTTCCTTGTGAACCAGTTGTCTGGTGGATAAAAACAGTTGTTTGCATTCCACAGCCTGGAATTCTTTTCTCATTAATGTAAGCAACACTAGAATTTATCTGCCTGTTTAAGAAATAGTCAATATATTGCTCAAAATCTTCTAGAGAAGCATTTGAGCACAATCAGCCTGTAAAGCTGAGTTTTGAGAGGGTGCAGTAATTCCCTCTAAGAGCAAAATGCCAACATATACAATGATTTTCCTGTTTGAAGGGACTATCTCATGGTAAATTGCAGGAGATTTAGACTTTGATCTTCATAAATTGAATTACTTGGGGTTTTTTTCTGAATTCTGTGTCAGTCTGAAAAGCAATGTTTGGTTTTTTTGCATACTTCAGATTTTATAATTTTTTTTATTCGTTGCAGTAATCTAAAACGCGATTTCTTTTTTTTTTTTTTTTTTGTCTTTCCAAAACCTAACAGGAAATTCAAAACCAATAATTTAATCCATGCCTTGAAAGCAAAAAAACCGCAACAAAACCAACGAACAAAGGAAGCTGCTGTGCTCCTAATAAAAACAAGTTGCATTACCACAATTGTAACAGTGATGTTATAAAAGAGAAGGATGTGTTTCAGGCAGAAGAGTTTGCTTTTCAGAATGATTTGTGAAAAGCCAGCTGCTACTTGTTAACTCTATTGCAACTGTTACACCCTCTTTTCAGTGTCTTCTAGAAACTTCCTGGTTATATAATCTGTCTTTTTTCCTACTCTTTACAGAGTAATTCTGCAGTCCAGTGTTCAGAAAAATAAAACCTCTGAACCTAGCATTTCTGACAGTACAGACATTACTAAAAGAACTACCAGGTCTGCTGCGAGAAAAAACAATTTGAAAAGGTGAGAGTTAACCTCTTTACAGATCCAGTAACTCTTCTCTAGGCAAATACTTTTGAGCTGCTGTACCCATTGCTGGCAGGAGCTTTGCCACAGTCCAGCCTTTCTCCTGGCAATGGGAAGTGAGAAACAATTGTCTGGTTTATGTCATGTACCGAGAATATCTGGAAATATATTTCTTAAGACATTTGTTTATGTTGCTCAGTCTTTCAACTTGGAGAATTTTATGTTGTAATTCCTCATGTGAGTCAGAATTACTGAGGATGAGGGATTTTGGTAACATGAAAACCCCTCTGCCTGGAGTAAGAGATGGAAAAGTAGTTCACAGCATTAAGTCCATTATTAGTTAGTGCACAAAGTCAAAACCACGAGAAATTTGATGGACAACTGAAATGCAGCAGGAGTGGCAAAGCCAAGTGTACAAAATGCTTGTCTATACTGGCATGAGATTTTTTTTTATGGAGAGCATGGCTGATCATCTGAACTGAACCTGTTTAGTGAAGCTTAATGAAATTTTAAACTCGAATGGACTTATGTAAGACTGAAAGTGCCTTTGGGCACAGAAGCAGGTGGGCACACTACTGCTGGGTTTCCTTGTGTTTGCATGTGATCCTGCCCCTCTGTGCCAACTCTCCAGCTGATTATCAGAGAGTGCAGCTTAAAACAATATCCAAACAACTTCCAGTGGTTACAGTTGACTGGAATTTGTCTTGTGGCTCATAGTGAAAAACTTTCAAACGGGTTTGCCAGATGCTGAAGAGACTTACTTTTGTTGGGAAACTTTTTATGTTATATGCATTGATTTATAAATATTGCTGAAAATTCCAAGTTCTTGGGGAGCTTTTTCCCCATGAGCTGTTCTCTCTCCTTCTTCATCCTGTTACCTTGAAGGTAACAGAAGTTGGGAAAAATTCACTCTGGCAGACAATGGAAATAGTCATTAATAGTAGACTGCAGTAAAATTATATTCAGAGAATTTTTAGCTGTGACTTTCTTTCAATTTATTTAACAATATGTTAAAAAATAATCTCTTTTTCCTGAAATCTGTGTTTTATTTAAAACTAGGAGTATTTTTCAGGGTTTTCCTTTTGGCTGCTTGTGTTTTTTCTCAATTTTGCCTCATTTTCACCATGTCAGTTTTGGTCCAAACAGAATAGATGGGGTTCTGCCTGCTGTTTTTATTCTTGATGCCTCTCCCAGTTTTAATCTGCTTGCAAGGCTTTGAAGCTGTATACATGCAGATGTGTAATTTGGACAGAGATTTTCCTGGAAAACACTTCTGCAAGTTGACCTGCATGTTGTGTGAGATGAGAATACCCATCCTAGGAGGAAACAGCATCCCTAAAATAGAGTTCACAGAAGATTTCATTTAATTTTAAACAACTCCTGTCTGTGTATTGGCAGATTTATGACTCTGGAAGCAAGGATGAGGTTGATCTCAAAGTTCATAAACTACTTCCTTCATATGTTAATGGATTTTCTAAAACTTCCATCCGAAATATTTCATTCCATACACTGTTTCTTTTCTTCTAACTCTTGAGCTCAGAGAATTCCAGTCACTTTATACTTCCATCCAGTAATCAAATTTGTCCTAGTTATGTCACAGTTCTAGAGTTCTTAATTATCTTGTAATCTGAGAGGGCTGATTGGGTCTGGTCCCTCCAAAGGGTATGACTGTACAATTTAATGGACTTTGAATGCAGTGCCTTGTTATTAATTTCAGAGGTGTCCCTTTATTTTTCCTGTAGCATTTGGAAAAATCTCACTCATTTTTTTAAGCATGCCTCTTTTTTTCATCTAAATTTATTTTCATTTCTTGAAGTGTGTGCTGTTTGCATTAACTCACAGTGCTCAGATTCATTGACCTATTCTTGACTAAGTGGATTGATTGCAGGGTAGAGAATAATTATTATTATTACACAAAATTGACATCATGCCCTAACCAACATCTGTCTTTGTCAAGACCTTGTTTACTTCCCTGAACTTCTGACATTGCTGTGTATCATCATTCTTTCATTTTCTTCTCTGATATATTCCAGTGGATTCTCTGATATATTCCATGTTTGTGTTCTAACAAGGTGCATCCTTCACCTCTGAACCAGCTGAATCACAGGAAGACACAAATCAAACCATCTTTTCCATCTTACCACAGAATTAGGTTATATTTAGAATTAGAACAGAATTATGTTATATTTATAGTAAATTTATAGTAGTATTTTTATATTTATATTTATAGTTGATTAGAAATGAACTCTTGAGTGGTAAAGCCATTTTGGTGGGTAGAGGTGCTTAAGGGAATGCAGGTCAAGTCATTAAAAAAAAAATAATAGGGAGTATGGAGAGAAGTGTGTGAAAACTGGATTGTATAGGTTTCTTTACTTGTTTTAACCGGACAGGAATATCACAAAAGCTAACAAAGAGGCATACACTTTAAAAATCTCATATGCTTTTGCTTTGCTGGGTTATCACAAAGCAGCTTTTCTGCACCCTTGTTCAAATACTGAAAACTACCTGCAGCATTTCAGAGCTTTCCTATAGGTAATCTAAATCTAGCTTTAAAAAAATGTTAATGTTTCTTTACTATGCTGTCTACTTTTCCTATGGTTGATACCTCAGAGGGAGAGAAAGAAAACTGAAATTATGGTGCTGTGAATCCTCTGTTGCATTTCCATGTGTAACAGAACTGTCTGCACAGTGTCTGCGATCAGACCAGTCTGTGCTTTCTTGACAACTAGCATTGCTGTATTTTTAAATGCAGTGACTTTTATCTTCTGTTTCTTTCTTCCAAGTATCATTTGCTCATTTTACCTTGCCAGAAATGTTTGCATGAAATACATGCTGACTAATATTTAACTTTTTCCCTCAAACGTGTTTTATTTCAGCAGCCAGCCCGTCACAAGGACTAGACCAGTCTGGCGCTGAATTTCAAATAAGCCACGAGTGTTGAAGAGGATATTCAGGAGTGAAGGGGATATGACTAGAGGGAACTTGTTGCAATTCAAGGAAGATGACTTTGGCTTCATTTTTCAGCAAAAAAAAATGAAATAGAAGAATCTCTTCCATACCTGTAGAATAAAATGAACTGTGAATGTGCTTGGTAGACATTTTCCTACCGTGCTAACACTTCCTCAAGCAAACCCAACAAAATCTGTGTACATTCAGACTCAGGTGTAAATACTTAAGCTCTCTATTATAAAGAGGGCTTGCTAAAATGTATGAAGCATGTGTATAAATTGTGATGGCAATCACTCAGCTGCTGACCAGCAGAAACAAAAAGATGGTGGGAGCTTTTAAATATATAAAATCGTGTTGTCCATTCAGACTGGGCTGAAGTCTTCACTTGAGACTGAGAATCAACAACAAAAGCTTTATTTCTTATTCTAGTATTGGTACTCTCCTGTGTTCATTGGCTGTTTTCTTATTTTGTATGAAGTTTTTTATGAAGCTGCAGTATTGAGTACACTAAGTAACTATTGTCTACCAAAGAGTGCTTTATTTTCAGAGGTTGTGTGGTTTGTTTGTTTAGGAAAAACTAATTATAAGTGATTAACTTGGTTTTAATAGTGACAGATTTTTAGTTGTTCACAACCAATGGCTCTTTTAACCACTTACAATTGCTTTAAATCTGGTATGATTTTAAAGGGGAGGAAAAACAGTTTACCATTTAAAGCAGTGCTGTGGTATTGAAATATCATTACTGTTCCCTTTCCTACCATCAAGTCCTTTAGGTGAAGCTTTAGGTTACCATATACAAAAGGTAAGAACTTCCCCCAGATTTTATTGGTATGCTTGATAACACTGGTTTTTATCTTAGAGGCACTTAGTGAGTGCAGCACACAAAAAAGGGAAAGTAAGCTTGCCATCCAACTGAGATTGCTGCTGCAACTCAGGGGCAGGCAGAATATTTGACATCTAATTAACTTTAAGAACTACAGCTTACCTCTGTTAAAAAGCAGTGTAATTTTTAGGGGATTCTATTTGAGACTGACATTGTCATCCACTACAAGACTGTCTTCAAACACTGGCAGTGTTTTTTTTCCCTACATATTTTCACATTCACCTCAAAGCTGATGTACCCTTGTCTGCCAACTGATGTTTATAGCTGCATATCCCTCAGATGAGGACTGTTACCACATAGCCTTAAATATGATTCAGTTATCTGTTGATTTAGTGACTCTTACAGTAGAAAGTAGAAGAAATGGAAAGATCTGAAATGTCAGTAATGGAATAACTGAATTTTTTAAAGATAAAGATTACCTCTGCAAGAGGGAGAATTTTATTTTTATGAGTGTAAATGTTCAATGACTAGTTTCAATCTACATCCTTTTAAATAAAAAGTAATCTGTTAGGGTGGTGATTTTTAAATGTCAATATGAAATAGTCACACAGTGGTTTGAAAACATTTTGTAAGCAAGAGCATCATGAGCTGGAGAGGAAACAGGATGTGAAGTGTAAGTAAGCTTTCAGGTAGCATCCATGAGTTTGGACAGTCAAAATGTGCAAATATGGATACAAAGAAAACTAAAAAAGTATAGTCCAAAGTAAAGGACCATTGAGGCTCAGACTGCAAATATTTTTTTTATGTTCTCTTAAACTTCACAGTCGCCACCATTTTCTTCTTGGTGAAAAGCACCTAAAAGAGAGGGACTGATCTCATCCTTGTAAGGGAATTAAAATTTCTTGGGGTTTGGAGGGCTGTGTTTTGGGTTTTTTGTTGGTTGGTTAGGGATTTTTAGTAAGCCACTTGCCCAAAAGCTGAAGTACAGGTGGCCAGAAGAGCAGGTATACTGTGCAAATATGAGTCTTTGTTTATTTTTGGAGAACATTCTTATCTCGGAAGGCATAAGGGATGAAACTGCTGAAGTGAGAGTCAAAACGAGAGATTTAGTGATATTTACTGTGTTTGGCTTTGCCTTTCTCTCAGCTGGGCTGCTTCTAGCATCCTTGTTTTTAACCTAAAAATAATTGGTCTACTTCTCACCCCTTCCAAATTCCAAAATAGAATTTGCCTGTTTTAAAGTAGCCAGCAGAGTCTTTAGCACTTCTGCCTTCATCAGAAGTAAATGTGTATAACACGGTGAGCAAACATACACAACAGCCACTCCAGCTAGACCAAAACTGCATTTTTGGCATCAGTGTGTTTGAGGACAGCCCTTCCAGCACCCAGGATCTCAGAGAAGATAAATGTCAGAGACACATAAATGTCGAAGGGATTTTATGTTTGAACTTTCCAAACAGCCTTATATGGAAAATGAACTCATTACCTCATTGTATCCCATCTAATTGTACTGCTGAGTTTGTTGTTAGGAATTTTTAGTACTTTTGCCTCAAGATTTTATTATACCATACCAAAGTTGTCTTAGGTACAGGGCATGGGTGAGAGAGTCCTTGGTTTCTAAATCTTTTTTTGAAGTATTATGTGCCAAAATGGAAGGTGGTGGCAGATGCATCACCACTGTACCAGAGAGCAGCTGAGGGAAGTTATTTCTGCTGTCATCAATTAGGAGTTTTTCTCCTCAGAAATTCTTTCCCCTTTCAAATGAATTCCACATCGATCTCCTACTCATGGAGTAGGAGTTATATTGGGTTATATTGCTCCTTTCCATTACAGCATCAATACCTTAACTCAGATGTTAACCCAGACCTTGTCTTTTTGCCCCAGTATGACAGCAGAGGAAGTGCTGCTGATCTAATACAGCAACAAAAAAAGATTTGTAGAGACTCAAAATAGGGGAAAACATGATAGATGTGATGTTCACCAGTTTGTTGCACTGCAGTTTTTATATTAATCAGTGGCAGTCTGTTTTGTGTAAACTCATATAGACTATCAAGGTCTAAAATTTCGTGACTAATCAGTACTGTGCATCCTGATTATTTTTAAATTGTATATTTCTAGTCATATTTTTTTAACTTGGAGTGACAGAATGGAAGTTTATTTTGCTGAAGGTATTTTTAAGATAAAGGTTCGTATTATCTTGTAATATTAATTAGTTCAATATGCATTTGTGTCTCATTTGAAAATACTGCATTTGATTTTATACAAAATACTGAATAGTGAGAACTGTAAACACGAATTCTGTCAAATTAAAAATAATCACAAGTTTGGTTTCTGTTTTATTTCCAGCATTCTAAAAAAAATCATCACAAAACCATTGTATCTGTACTGGACTGACTCATATGTGCACTGAAAAATAATACAACACTCTCAGTTACCTGAAAACCTTTAATTAAAGCACAGATTCTTAAAACACATACTTTTTAAATTTAAAAAAATAGACAATTTCTGGCTCTGCATTTCAGGGCATTCACTTTGGAAAACAGGAGTTGTATTTTGAATTGTTGGGATACTATTACATAGTAAAAAAAGCATGGTAAGATGGAACAATGGGGTTCCTGTTATGTTTTTCCTTCTCCTATGATCATATAGTAATAATTATTGGAAACAAGCTTTATCTTAAATACTGTTTGCTTTGATACCTACCAGGAAAGTGATGGTTCCTCAAAAGTAAAAACTAAATTTTCAGGAACACTCTTTATTTTTGTGTTAAGTGTTGGTGGGGGTGTAGTTCAGTCTTCAAAAAAAACACCAAATACAACAGCAAAAAAAATATTGACCAACTAACTGCAATACTTCTGATCACTCTTACAGGCATTAGAAATTGCAGAATTTGTGCTCACCAAGCAGAGCCTGTTTGCCAAGCAAGGAAGCTTTCACTTGCTCCAAAGATACGTTTTTATGGTTGGAAAGTGTGTTTTTCTGTTTTAAGGTGATCCATTCTAAGCTTGGATGAGTTCCTGACAAACCAGTTGCCTGATGAAGAGTGAGTGATGGGAAAAGACCAGCTCATGCCTGTGATGCCCACAGGAAAACACAGCTGAGCCCTCCCATATCCTCAGCAATTTAAGGTGTCCTGGCATTGGGCAGGGGAGGGCAGAGCACTAAAAGAATCCCACAGACAAAAACTGGACTACGGCCCAGGTCAAATCCAATGATGCCTTAAGATCTTTTTGTGGGTTTTTTTGATTTTTCTCATTTTTATAAGCTTTATAAGTAGTTATACAGTAGAACTAGATTTTAGAAGCAGCAACCCTTATTCACTTACCCTTAGCATAGAAACTACACACATTCCCCTACCCCATCACCCCATTCCATGCTCCCATATCATTATCCCCTGAATTCCAGTAGAAAATGTTAGTCTCTCTTTAAGAGAGAGACTTGTGTTTAGAGAACACTTGTACCTTGGCCTGAACCGCAAAAGTACAGTCAAGAACTGGGTAAATATATGCCCCCTGTACCCCGAAGAAGATGAAGATTGATGAAGGAGTGGTCTTAGAGACCCTCACCTCAGTTCCCAAGGGGTGTGACTGAGGGTGGTCCAGGGCAAAAGCCAGTGGGTGGACGAAACCTGGGACTGGACAAGCAATATTATAAATTTTACCAACTGTACAGAGGGGCAGCGTGTGCACCTCAGAGCCACAAATTAAAACCCTCATCTCACCTCCAAAACTAATTGCCTCGGAGTTTTTTTCTCCCTGCATTTTCTTTAGGCAACACAGTGCCAGGTCAGTTAATGCACTGCAAGAATGATCTGCTGGAGTAGTTCTGGACACCTTCTCTTAGCCTCCTTTGCATTACAGTTTCTACAATGCCTATCAAGAGTAGGCAAAAACATGCTCTGGCACAAAGGATGCACTGTTTAGACACTTTCAAGTCTGATGTTGGGAACTGCATGCTTTAAGCCTAGCTCACTAAGAGTTTGTTGAGGAAGAGATGTTTGCTTTTTTCTTTCTCATACTTCTGTTTTGGGGTTTTGTTTCAAGTGGATGTGACTGAACAATAAGCCCCTAAAATGGAACAAAGTCAAGAGGAGACAGACAAGGGTAATGTGCTTGTGAAGCTCAGGGAGTGATGCAGGATGTGATGGACCACAGCAGTTGCAAAGGTGATTTTATCTCAGTACAAAGGGGACCAGAGGGTGTCCTTTGTTGTAGATAAAGGGCTGTCAACAGTTGAGTGGATCAACCAGGGGTACAGCTCCAGGAGTTCTTTAGAGAGAGGGAAGACCAGACCAGCATGGGGAGAATGAATACATGGAATATAAGACCCAGACAACTGCCAAAAGAATTTCAATGGGTTTGAACTGACATCAACCCTCCCATTCCTTCTCAACACCTAGGGACACATGGTATGGTGATGGTGAGGATACATATCACAGGAACCAGTAATGGGAATCACATTGGCATTGGGGTTAAACTCTGTACTGCAACTACTGTATTAAGTATAACTTATATCTGTGTGTGTCTTCAGTATAGTTTATGTCACTGTAAACCAGAAATGCCATGTGACACAAACTATCTTCACTTAAGTACATTTGTTATTAAACATGACACCCGCCATCCATGGGAAAAATCTCCAAGAACCTTGTCAAGTGCTGGACTGTGACAAAGGGGTTGGAGGAAAGCACCTTGGAAGTCTGTCCTTTAAACACACCTGGTCCACATCCTCCCTGTTAAACTCTGTCCCAGTCCACAAAGCTCTGGAAACCAGCACACAATCCGCAAGTAACAGAAACACAACCAAACCACTAACAAGTACAGAATTCCTGGATTCTCGTATGTCAACTTATTATTCTCTTCTGGCAAGAATTAAAAACAAAAAAACCAAACCTGTACCTTGCTGGTATTTCTACCTTTTGGCAAAGTTATCCTGCTAATTTGGTTACATTATGCAAAATTCAGTATCTTTCATTCAAATAGTAACTACTGTACAAATACAGGAACTACTTCTGCTAAAAGCAGACAAGAACTTACTGAGTCCTATTAACTAGCTGTAAAACATTGCAGAGACAACAAACAGAACACAGATTGTGAATATTCACACTACTGAGACTAAACAGGAAGAGCAAAAACTTCAATTTATTAAGGGTTACTTTGTCTCAAACATAACAAACACTGTCCTTAAACGTGATACAGCATCTAAAGCTGCTCTGGAGACACAACCATCTCTCCGCAACAGTCATTGGATCACATCTTCAGAAGGCATTTGTTTGCAGACCAATAAAATTCTGCTGAAGATATAATAATGTATTTCAAATTAAATTCTAAATAGCAATCAAAGTGTAAGTCACTTTGATTAACACAAAGTGTTACTTCTTCCAAAGACTGAAGGTTCCACTTTCAAGCAAAAACTGTTCTTGTTCAGTGTGTTACTGAAAGAGAAAAAGCTCTAATTTCACGCCTGTTATTCAGTGACTGAAATGTACTTTTTGTGCAAAGTAACCACGTTTCACATTCAATTGTTGATTGAATGACAATGAGTCAATGTTGCATTACTTTGAAGACTATATATATATATGTGTGTGTATATATATACAGTTATTTTCTTGTGTATGTGCCAGTGACAGCTCTGAAAGAAAGAAAAAATTACTCAAAAATTGTGCAAGAGTACTTTAATTACATAAATGTATGTACTAGGGCTATGGATTTGGGGTTTGGGCCCAAAGGATGCTCATACCCTAAGGCCTGTTTTCATCAAAACAGGTTTAACCAGAGCTGAAACCTTATCTCCCATGAGCTCAAATTGCCCAATATGCCTATTTATCAACTCAGGTCTTAATACTTCTGAGTATTTTTCTTCATTCTTTGATACTTTTAAGTACAGACATTCCTCTTTCCTCTAAAGGCACTTTCATATTAATATATTCTTGCCAATCCTGAACCACGGTACCACCTATGATTCACATCAACACTATCACATATAAATGACAGCCCTGGAGAGGGGAATTCCTCTCTTTGCAAACTTGATTAATCTCAAACTAGAAGCTGAAATGCTTTAGTTTCTCCTGAGCCCCTCACTGTATTAATCCAAAGAGTACCTTGTAGTAGTGCATTGAAGAGTAACGTGACTCAGATCTGCAACACAGTCTCAGGGTGCTTGTGTATATGTTTACTAGTGCTTGTGCATTAGTATTTATTATTTATTTAGTATTTATTATTATTATTTACGCCTGCTCCCAATTGCTTTACAGGAAGGAGTAAAGCTAAACCAGGAGTGGCTGTTAGCAGCAGAGATGTGCTTAACAGAGACAGCTATTTTGGTACCTTAAATGTGACAGATGGCTGAGATTTACTGTTCTCTTGTCACAAAAGAATTGCATCACTGTCACCACTTACAATTAATAATTCCTTCTCTACACTTGGATATACCATCAACTAGAGAAGCTCTGAGGCCACAATCAAGTCGGACAGACTGAAAAGCAGAATTGTCACGTCACTTCTCTAAGAAACTTCATGTTTAAGCAGTGATCAACTACACTAACACTCATTCTCACGAAGTTTGGGGTTTTAGTTTTGGTTGCTTTGTTCTGGTTTTTAATTAAACAGACTTGTAACAAGTTGGTTTTTTTTTTTTTTTTTTTTTTTAACCAGGTGTTTTTCTAACACTCTGCTGAACCAAAAGTTGATTACACAGATACACTTTGACAAGTCCTTTAAAGCATTCCCCAAAGAACCTATTTGTCATTCTGTTTGGAAAAGCAGATCAAAGTTGGAGGAACAAACAGTAACTTTGCAGCAGCAGCAGGAAACGGCCTGAAATATAAAACAACTCTTTCAGCCTTCACAGAGAACAGTCAAAACTGAACTAGATTACACCAGATTCAGCCCAGTAGCACACCAAAGTTTCAATTTTTTGGTAGAAAAAGAGAGGGTTACTGTTAAATATTTCAGTGCTTTCCTTAGGAAAAAGAGGTACTGGGAGAAGAGGAGGCTACACTTCCAACACAGGATGGAAAACAGAAGCAAGCCTTGCAAAGAAGCTCTCCATGTCTACACATACACTCACTCCTGCAAGTAAAAGTGTAAATAAAAATTCAGAGACATTTTCCTGTCCAATGGAAAAGCGGAACAGGGAGGGAAGAACAAGTAAATATATTCCATGACCCCCACAGACAAAATCACTTATATTCCACAATCATTAAATTGCCATTTTTGGCAGAAACACACACTGCCTGGGAAAAGGGCAGCAGCAGTTAAATTTTAAACTGCACTGATTTCATGTAGCAACTTTTCCTACAAGGTGAAGGAGTCATGTATATTATTTCATCCAGTTCAATTAGTCAAATAGCAGGAGCATGGATTCCTCTTACACCAGCACCTGGTTTGCTTTTGCACACTCTTTCTACTAAAAGTTGTCAGAGTATCTCTCTGCTACTAAAATGAACTCCTTGTGGAACATGAAATCTCATGTTATAGCAAATTGTCATGTAAGTAATTTAACAAATGCAAGAAAAAAAGAAATCCTTTGGGCTGAACTACTCTGCAGACCCTCTGTTTGGAGCATATAGAGAAGAGTCTGTAGTCTTTCTAGGATGATTTTCTCCTGCTTGTGCAAAGCCTTATCAGTGAGATAAGTCTTTTAAGTTGCTGAGTACTCCTAGAGCTTACTCCAAAGCAAAACATTTTTTTCCTTCTAAGTCTCATCCACTATTTGCTTTCCAAGTAGACTGCTTAGAAGTGAGGTAGAGAACTGGAAAAAATGAAAGATTTGTATTAATCTGCTTTCCCAGTAAATCGAAAGAATGAGTTCAATGCATTTGAAGACTCCTGTGAGCTACTTCCAAAATGTCCAGTGTGATCATCCACTCTTTTTTCTGTCATCGCTTCTTGCACTATTTCCTTGTTTCTCTCAGATCTCCCAAAATAATTCTGAGCATCCCCTTGGACAGGAAACAAGTGAGGCTCAGGTGAGGAAGTGTGTTAAAGCTGCAATGAGGGAACATCCCATTCGTCCCCAATGTCACAAACTTCTTGGTAAGGTAGGAAACATTTTAGTTTGTAGTTGCTCCTGCTGGAATCAAAAGCTTCCTTAACAATTTAGTTCTGTCTTTAGCTCAAAATTCTTACTGTACTGAAATTTAAACATCTTCAAAGTAGTTGCAGATTACATCTTGGTACTGAGGTGGGACTTATCAAACAAAAAGCATCTGTGTGCCTTAATTTTACAGATCACTTTAATTTAGAGAGATCTAAAGACTGCTGTTTGAGGTTTGGGTTTGGTGGGGTTTTTTTTGATTGGGTTTTTGGTTGGTTGGTTGGGGGTTTTTTGTTGGGGGTGTGGTGGTTGGTGGGGTTTTTTGGGTCTTTTGTTTGTTTCTTATTTTGTTCCAGACGACATCCAAATAGCAAAAGCTTCATTGTACCACTCTGACTTTTTAAAATAATACCTCAACACCAAACCAATGAGCACTTTCCTTTATTTGCCAAGCTAAGAAGAACTGCAGCTCCTGACTGTCTGAAATATACACTTCACTCAAAAAAAATCAGCTTTCAAATGTACAGTGAAAGAGTCCCAATTGTAGACCGTGTTGTACAGTTCACATTTCACCATGGTGGCATGGAGAACTTGATAGAATCTCTATATATACACATTTTGTAAAAACACTGTTCCCTTTAACTTCATTTGAAGCCTGGTAGTGAAGCCCTGTGAGCCTTCCCACAGCTCTAACACAGGAGACACTGGGACCTGCCACAGGATCCCAGTCCACCCATATTTGTAGGACCCGCCTCTATTAGCAGACAGCTGCAATCATCTCACACCAAACACATAAACAACTTTCCCACAAGGAAACAGGCTTCCTTTATCCCCATCCAGCATAAAACTGGTCTCTTCACAGCTACTCCAAAGCTACTTTGGGAGGCCACCATTCCTGGTGGTTCTTCAAGCCAAAGCTGGAAAATCCTCGGGATCATCAGGATTTGGAGCCACAGGCTGCACCTGTAAAGTAAGAAAAGAAGCTTTATAAAAATGAATGCATTTCAAAAAGCACCTGACAGCCATGGAGATGTATTTTACCCTTAAAAGGGTTCATTCTTCCATTCAAGTTCAATGCTGCTGCTACTAAATCCCACTTCCAGTCAAGTTGTATCCATCACTATCACAGAAATCAGGAACATTTATCTCAGAAGTTACGACTACTGTAATTTCTGCAGTGTGAATGGATTTATAATGCTGGGCCACTGCCTGGAGAGGGCCAGAAGATCATAAGGTTTGCAGCACTGAATGAACAAAGAAAGTAAAGCCCCCTCAAGAGAAATACTGTGTGGTTTTATAAGCAGCATTGCTATATTTTTACATTCTAAAGCTATTGCACAAATTGGGTTGTAGCTTTAAACACTCTGTTTACTATAAAGAGCCTTTTTTATTCAGATGAAACAAATGCATCGATACTTAGATATTATTCTGAAACTTCCCAGCCTTAAAGCATTTTAGTCACAGTAAACTGAGACCTTCTGTTAGTGTGAAGAATAGAGATGTCATTTTCCAGTGTGCAAATGCCTTTTTTTTTAAAGAAAAATTAAGTAGAAGGCTTTTTTAATGGCTATATTGAACTCATCATTCTGAAGGATCACTGATTACTGAGAAATCAGAAGATCTAAGTATCATTACTGTACTATACTGAAATTTTTCCCGAGAGATACAAGCCTTTAGTAATTTTAATTACTTTCCAATTTATGTCAAAACTCATTGCAGAAACAAATCTTCACTACATTCTTTCCTCTAGTCACCATTACAGCATCCAGTAATCAGACCTTTTGAAGAGCTGTGAGCATGAACCAGTATTTGAAGTAACATGATATAGGCCAGGAACTCAAAATAAGCAGGCCAACATACTATGAGGCAGGAATAGGAAACAAGTCTGTCACTGTGGAAATCAATAATTCCACACAAAAGGCAGTGGAACAAACACACCAACACCAACAACCCAAAACCAACCAAACAAAAAAACAACAACAAAAAAAACCAAGCAAAACAACCAAAAAACCTCATATAAACTCATAAAAACCATTACCACTGCTTCTGATTGAGGTCTGATCTCTCCTGATCCACAGCCAGGGCGAGGAAGGCTCCCAAAATTAATATCCAGCTGAGACGTGATGTCATTCACCGTTTTTCGAAAGACAGGAGAATCACATTCAAAGGTTTCTTTTTGCAACTAAAAAGAAGATCTGGTTAAAGCCCACAGTTTCCACGGACGAGCTTCTCCCCTCCCCAGCACAAACACATGCACTTGTGTTACAGACTAAGCAGCAAATGCATCGAGGGGACACCTGGAATAGAAGGCACAGGATTTTAACAGAGATGGGAGAATTCTTTGTTGGCTCAGAGATTCCTGGCAACAAAATCTTCTGTACCAGCTCTGTAATATTGAAGAGGTTTTTCAGAAATATCATCTAGGAGGTTTTCAAAGGCACTAGAGAATCGGACCTAAGCTGCTTACTCCTACAGTTACCTCCAAGTAATGGACAAAAGGCCACATCATAAAGCTGTGTAATTGTTTTATTTGTCTGCATGTCTTCAGCTATGAGACTGCTGTTGTTTTAACTCTGGGTGTTCCTAACAGCCAGGGGATGTCAGACTATCAGACTATTGCCCATCACAGGTTTAATGTGCCCTGTAGTAATGATAATGTATATGTTAACTCATCCCATACAATAATGAATCACTTATTCAGTGTCTGATTAAAGGATTTGACTTGCCCAGTTACACAGTTCCTGTACCTCCTATTCCATGCTCATTTTGACAAGGTCTCTTGGTACTGCCAGAAACTTTATGGGCAAGAAGAACAGAAACCTGTATGCACTCCTCACACATCTGCATTTTCTCTTCAGAGTTTGGGAGAGTTATTCTCCCCACTCCTACCACCACCTCCCTCAGAGAAGGAACAGGGGATAATGGCAACTCTGACCAGCAAAGTCCCACTAAAGAGAGCACAAGGCCACTTCAGGACCAGTGTCTGCCCCAGAAGTGCTCAATCACCTGAAGGGATTAAGCCTTAAAAAACTGCAAGGTCTGATGTTAATATTGTAACTAGACACAAGATAATATGTATCCATAAATGCATGCAAGGATCAAAATTCACTTTTGCGACACCTCCCCCCCCCAAAACTGAAATGTAAGTAAGAAAAGGTCTGAAAGAAGCCTGCCCTCTCTCTCCAGACCTAGACTTTATCCCTGAAATTTCAATCTCAGGGACATCAGGAAATAAAATACAGGGGGAGGGGGCAGAGTGGGTAAGCACATCACAGCAGAACAATCTCTCCAGAGTTAGTTATTAGAAGCAGGACCCTAAAACTGGAAAAAAAAATAAAAAAAATAAAAAATTAAAATTCATATATTCCAAGTGCACAGTGAGAGCTGGGATCCAGCACAGATGAAAAAGAGACCACTTAGCATCCAGACTGACAGATGCCAAAACCTGAGTTTAATATATATGCATGCAAGTGTATACTGGCAGGATTCAGAGTTAGGAAGAGAAATTTTTAGTAAACCAAGTTTCTCTAGCAGCATTACCAGACATCTACACAGGTGGCAGCAGCAAGGACACATTTTATATGGATAAGACTGAGCCATAAGGTAGAACAACTCGACACATTATGTATTGGCATACAAAATAGGTGTGATAATCTGAGAGGGGGAAAAAAAGAAATGAACACACAGTAAGTTTAAAGCAAATTTTGGGCCACGTGTCATTAAAGTAATAAAGCTTAGATACTGTTCTCTTGTCTGTTCAGATTATACTAAAACTAATAAAAAAGAACAGAGACAGTTTCCTAATCCTGGGCATAAAGGACAGTTCACAGAATTCCTGAGGCAATGCTTACATCATGGCTATATTTTGACTTGTGAATCACCACTGCTTTGGAAGGAACAGTGGATTCTGGCTTCCGGATGTTGAATTCAGGCTTTGGTCGATTCTGTTGCTGAAGATTTTTCCACTCATCTAATGTCAGTTCTTGAACTACTTCTTCCACTGGCTCTGCTTCAGCAGCTCTAAAGGTTTATAGTTGTAAAGTAAAAACCATTAGCTTGCAATATGCCAGGATGAACAAGAACACTAAGCTCTAAAGTAAGGATACCAAACAAAATATTTGGAATATTTCCCACCAAACTGTTGTCCTTAAATTCACTTGCTCGCCACAGTAACTTTGTGGGAGAGTTTTACATTAATGTAAGTTGGAGTGTTGTTCAAAGTCAGTCATATGAACAAATGCCATCTGCAGCCACCTCTATTGCTGCTCATCCAGTAAGTTCAAGCACTTAAGATTCTAGACAAAAAACACTCTGCCTTTTGATCTCTCATACTCTTAACCCTACAGTTTAATAGTGGATCTATCCCTAGCAAATACAGCCACAGTAAAATAAGCACCTAGAGCAGTTTTAAAACACCCCAATTGCACAGTTTCATAGTCCTGGAATGAGGTGGATTCACGTTTCAGTGTAGTTTTCAGTCATCAAAAAGATATGATTATCACATCCTGGGATCTTCTAGGTTATTATTAACATTTTCTTTGTTAATTTCACAAGATGCTTCTTTAATTTTTTTTGGTCAGATATAGTAACACACAAGGAACCATTACTTATCACCCAGAAAAACCAGATTAATCCTAGTCAAGTTTTAATTTGTCACAAAGTGCAGTGATGATGAAAACATATTGCATATTTTTGAACTATAAAGACAGAAGGTTTTATGTCTGTAAGATACATAAATAAGACAGGATACACGAGACAAAACTAAAGATTCTTCTCCACTCATCACTGCTTTACTACTCTGATGCTGACCACAACTGGTTTGCCCTGGACCAGCAGCTCTTGGAGCACTACAGGTATATTTTTTAATAATACCTAGAGAAAGCTGTCCCCTGCCAAGCAGCATCACACACAGGGAGCACAAATCACTTCATCCCTGCAACCCTCTGCTGCCTAAACAAGTCAAATATCATGAACTACAGGAAAACCCACACTGATTATTCCCAGACACTCAAGAAACCGTTTCTCCCTTCTCCCACAAAACTGCTATTGCTATAGCAGTTGAAGCAGTGGAAATTGAGTATTTCCCTTACACTGATTTTTCTGGAAAACCCTTTCCTTAGGTCCCATATGGGGGAAAACTATGGATTTGGTTTTCCTCAGTCAGTTGCAGTTCCAAGTCTTCTGCCAAATGCTGGTGATTTTCCCAATGTAAATACACAATTTATTAGATGTAAATTAGAAATTTTTATCATGGAGAGAAGTAGAGTCAAATGACAGTCAGTAAACTGTGCATTTCGGTTTTTGAAGTTATAAGAGCAGCCCATCAGACTGCACAACTTTGTTTGGAGCGTTCTGTACATTATAGAACTACCTTATATAGGAACAGGGCTGGTCCCTCTTCCTACCTGATCTTGAAGCAAATCATTCTATTTCTTGCCAGTCAAATTCAGACAGCGTTTTTCTGAGACACCCAGTATGTGACAGTTAGAAGCAGAACTGAACAGTAAGGCAGCTCTTCATTTTGATTATAGGATGAACACAATTTTAAATTCACTTGACAGAAGAACAACACACAAGTCCTGCACTACATGCCTCCCCCTCTGACACGCCCTCAAGCCCTGTTATTTTGAAAATTCCAGCTGTATCAACCAAAAATTAAAGGTTAAAAGACTGGTAAGCAGTCTGCAGTTCCACGCTGATTAAGATCTGAAACTATACTAGACAGATTGAGTTAAATAAAAAAGATACTGGTGAAAGAAGCAGTTACTTCTGGAAAAACACGAATGGATACTGTTCCACGTGTAAGAGCATTAAGAACAAATTGCACCCCAAACATTTCAATTTGTTGTCTTCGACAGTAAGAGGCCAAATAATTTTTGCTCAGTTACCTGAAGTTTCAGTTTTGGGAGCAAGTGTTGGAAAAACAATATTAGTGGTAAACACCCAGAGGAATTAAAAAAGAGAAAGCAAACCAATAAAAGGGGTCTCTATTAAACTGGTTGTATTTCTTCTAAAGCCTGCCTCAGAACTGAATCAGTAAATTGCATGTCTGAACTTTAGGAAGTCCTCTCCCATTAAGTTTTCAACACATTAGAGAGACGATGTCTTAAGGGGTGAGAAGCCTTTAAAGGTGTGGTGAGGAAATACAGAACACTAAAAAAAAGGGAGGTTTTGCATATCCATGATAGCAAGGCAAGACACTCAGATAAAAAAAAAAAACAAAAAAAAACCAAAAAAACAAAAAACCAAACCAACAAACAAACAAACAAACAAACAAAAACACAAAAAAAACCAACAAACCCTAACACAGCAGCTTCTCTTTTTTAAGTATTAGAAAGACCATCAAGGGACATTGAAATCTCTTTCGGGACATTAAAATCAACCAGACAGGCATGAGAAGTGACAGCTACAGCTAGTCATGCCTTGGGTCAGAAAGCCCCCTTTCAGGTTTAAATTGCTATGACCACAAGATAACAGGAGGACATTTCACTATACAGCAACTTGACCTCTCAAAGAGCAAACAAAGGCATTGCTTTGAAAAGTACACATCTATCAAAAGCAACCATTTGCCAGCTCTAAAGGAAATACTTGTGGATCTACAGTGCAATATTTGTTTTTTCAGCTGCATAGCATGGTTTGATTTTTACTCCAAAGGATGGTTTTAACCCCTAGATTATTAGCAGTTAAAATTTGTTTCAGGATGTCAAGGCTCCCAAGGGAAAACACCTCCCATGAGTGAGGCACAGCAACAGAAACCTGCATATCACATTTTGGACAGAGACCCAATTGCAGCAGGTTATTTTGGGCACCAAGCCTGCATGGGAGTGCACTCTGTGCATTACTTTCTACCTTCTAACCTTACACATTTCTAGTAACTGCTCGGTGTGCATTTTGATTAATCAAATTAATAAGCTCCTTGGCACATGAGCAATCATGCTCCCAAAATACTGCCAGACAACTAAATGCAATCTCTGGACACGAGCAAACCCAATTCACAATGAAAATCCCACCAAATCACTAAACAAGAGCCTTCAGTAACAGTTCCTGCTGCTTCAATGTTTTCAGTGGATGCCCATAACCCTCTAGCTGTGCCTTGATTACTGGGCATACAACAAACAAAGCACCTTTTCTTTTTAACAGAAGAAATGCAAATAGAAAGCAATAGCATTCAGCTCAGCTATTATTTTCATATCATTAAAAATGATCATAGCAAGTCTTTATAATCATAGCAAGTCTTTGTCAGATCAGCTTTTGCATTATTCAGCTGCACAAAGCAAATCCTTAGCCAGTTTTTATTAAGAAGTCAATGACATGAATCTTTCCCACTAAACAGCACTTACAGGAGCATGACCACCAGCTGTAGCAGAATTCAAAGTTAAACAAGGTAAGATCAAACAACGACTGTACCACTTTACCACAGAAGAAAAACACTGAACCAAATATTTATGAATCTCCGTCCTGATCTGTGAATTGCTTTATGTCACCACTGAACAAAAAACCAATGAAACAACAACAACCAAACCAAAACAAAAAAAAAAAAAAAAAGAGATAAATAGCTCAAAAAGCTTGAAGATAAATTTATTAACTCTGCAAATACCCTTTAGAAACAGGAATTGATTAGCCTGTATGTTATACTGAATAAAAAGAAAAGTCTATTAATTTGAATTAGTCAACACAAGCATGTCACATTGCTCTGACTGTGAGGACAAGTTCAACAGAAAGCAGATGTGAGGGAAGCTTATCCTGCTGTACTACCCTTGTATTTTCTTACACTGTTAAGGTTAGGTTTTGCTTTTGCAGCAAACCAAACCCCAGCTATTAGCATGCAATTTGGGATGATATAAATAGAGACAGATATTGTTGATATACTCAATAAAATTTGAGGATATGGGAAAAAAAGAACTCGTTTCATATTACAGATGTATTAAAGCAACTCTTGTCCTGCAATACTTTGTAAATAGAAGCTCAGGAATGGCAACATCGACACAGTCCTCAGGGCAAGACCCCCTAAAGTAGAGAAGCTTACAGACTCTTTCCAGAGTTGCACTGAAATTAGCCAGTACCACACCAGAGAGACTCACAGCATCTTCGCAGGAAGGTTATTCCCAATTTCCAGGATTACATTTTTTTACAGTTTAATTTTAAATGGAAACAGTTACAACAGGAAAGAATGAGAGAAGAAGCAAACCCAAGCCTTCCATCTCTTTCTCGATAAAAGCACACCACTGCAACAAAACAGCAGAAGAGAAAGGGTTTCCTTGCAGTCACTGCATTATAGAGTCAAAATCAGAAAGATCCTAGCAGCAGCCTAAGCAAACACACAATCCTATATAATGTTGAGGCTGCAGCAAAAGCAGAAGGCAGCACCTCTGGAGAGCAGGGGTAACCTAAGCATATGAGACTTTTAAATACATCCTGAAGCATAAAACCAGCTTTTGCTTTTAAATATTAAAAGAAAAACAACAAAAAAAATAAAATCCCATATGTTAAGACATATGCCTACAACCATCCCTAATGACCTAGGCACTGTTCCCACACTGCCTCCTATTTTAAAATACATAAAGTCACTGAGCTGACACCCCCCCAAAAGGTAAGTGCAATGAGATAAAAGTAACTCATGTTTTGTATATATATTTGTAAGCCTTCAGGACAAGACTTACTGCACTGAAAAGAGTACAACTGCAGAATTTTCTACTTGTAGCTTACTCACTTTTTTTTGGATCTTATGGATTTCAGTGGACTATTTCTAAATGCAGCTTTTTAAAAAAAAAACCAAGCAGGAGTAAAATCTCCAGAAAGACTCACAGCCTGACTGAATACTTAGTGATTTCTAAGAGAGGTAAAAGAAATGTAGACAACTGGCAGATTCTGAGAGGGGCCTTTTCCAGTGCATACACTTCTCATGCCTTCAGCTCTACAAGGAACTGCTACTGGGACATGTCTCCAAAGAGCTTGAGTCGAGTTAGAAACAAATACAAGGGTGAAACAACTAAAGGTACCAGCAGTTGACAAAATAAAAATAAAAAAAGCTGAATAATTTCTCGTATTTAACTAATACAGAGCATTTTTGACAATGTATCTGCACTACCCATCTGATTTAAGTTCATCTAGAAACAGTTTTTTGGAAATTCAGTCATAAGTCACTCGATTTCAGAGGACGATTTCCCCATGTGTACACATCTCTAGCTATATATTAAAAGCTACTTTAAAATTAAAAGAATCAAGGCCATATCAACTGAACTTCTTGGGGGTTTAAACAACCTGAACATATAACACAGGTTTTGTATTCCAGTTAGCTTTATAATTAAGAAATGAACCCATGTCACTAATAACTGGAGCTGCACCATCAGGTAAAAAAGGCCATCTTTTACCTGTCAAGAATGCAATTTAATTATTTGTTAAGTCTCTTACTTGGCCAAGATTGTCTAGTTACTTTTTCTTAAGCCAGGGTTTATCTGCTGTGAAGCAAATTCTTTCCAGACACTGAACAGAATGAAAGCCAGAAGACAAGGGGTAGATTTCTCTTCTCAATTTCCCTACTTCTAAGGCTCACTGCATTTCCAGAAGTTTTTGCAAGTTCTGCATAGCCCTTCATGAATAGATGACAACTGCAGTATATTAGTGACTGATTACTACAGACAGAGTATCTTAGTGCATTTTAAATGTACAAGCACCTTGAATACCTTTTCTCAGAGAATTTCAAAAAGCACAGTAGTTTTCACAAATTAGCCAAGTTAAAAAGGTAAAAGATAATATGTAGCTCCTCCTGAAATGATTATCATCAAATCTTAGGAAGATAAGCATCATGATGCAATTAAATGCAACCTCCAGCCACCTGAAATCAAGCTTTAGTCAGAATTAGAGATGCATTTTCTATACTCACAAATATAGACAAAGCTTTTCTATTTTTAAATATGTGCACTAGCAAAACTTCACAGTTCAGGTTTCAAGTGTGTCTCCCAACACAACAGTAAAAATCAATTGTTTTCTTTACATTTAGAAAGAAAATATTTAAGTCAGACAGTACTTGCTCAGAGGGTCTCCTTCAGATGTCCCTGGCTGTTCAGCAGTTTCTCCCACTAAAACAGGAAACAAAAAAAACCCACCACAAAGTCTTCATGAGTCACACTGGAAAAAAAAAATATCTTGCAGACCAATACATCACTTTTTCTTTCTAGAATTCCTTGGGAAGAAGAAAAAAAAGTAGAAAAGCTCTTTGACCATAAGCAGAAAGATCTATTAAGTGACTGGTTGAGCAACTAACAAAATGAGGAGGATTAGGAAAATAGAATTTCTATTTCTTTTTAAACAAAAAACGTGAAAAGCATGTATGAAGACAAAATAATTCAATCATGAATACTAATACAAGTACTTGGTTACAGTATAACACTGGTGTTTGAGTTTGCCTTTTTCTTCTTTTCCACAATTAAAGTTTGCAGTTTCTGTAGCATGGACATCAGTTCACTGTCAAATGAGAGCAGTAACTTATTTGCCTTCCACTGGTAAGTATACATAATTAAAATTAACACCTTTTAGCTTTGATGCATGATTAGTGCAATTGAGGCACAGACATGCTTTTACAATTGTTCAGATAGCTTCAATTTAATGTCACTTCTACCACATCACAAGAAATCCTTCATATATCATAAGTTCTGATGCTACTGAACTGGAAAAAAAAAAACAAACCAAATAACAAAACTTTACTAGGGAGAAAAAAATACAAGGGACCTTACACTTCTTGTAACTTCAAGAAGTTCACACAGCTTTCCCTGACATCCTGCAAAAGACAGTTCTCAACTGATAGCATAAAACCAGCTGACCAAAAGCACAAAACCTAGCTGATACTTTGATAAGCCAGAGCACCTAACCAACCTACTTTTAGTGTGAAATACTATAGAAGAGAGAGAAGTTAGTACAACCTTTCAGAACTTGGAATATCAAGTCCCAAAAATTATTACAAACGAAGGCTGCATTTTTCAAACCTTTAGCACAATTGCCTGAGTCCACAATCTAAGTTCCAAAGCTTAGATTTTAAGATAAAATTTGATTTTTAGAACAATTTTGTGAATGTATACGTGGCCAAAGACATTTGCTGTAAGTTCAAAGCGCTGCCTTTTCTCTGCCCTTTATCAGCCTTCAATTAGTGTTCTAGATGTACATGAGAACAAAAGCTACTGGAAAGAGTAGCTTATTGCTAGGTGCAGAGTATGGACAAAAGCCAGCATTTTCAGTGAGATCTTACAAATCTGAACAGAAACCAGTGCCACTACAAGAAATACAGACCTGACAGAAAATTTCCATATTTTTTTAATCTAACTGACCATTAGCTACTGATTTTCCTGTGCACTTCAAAATGCATTTCAGTGGTAGAGTCAGCCAAGTATTAGCTCCAGAGCCATACTGAATTGTATCACAGTTTTGCAATTTAGGAATGATCCATAAAACTCAAGAAAAAGAGACTGGAATTTAAGCCTCTGAACAGAGTTTGAAACTTTTAATCAGTATTTTGGAGCAATGCCATTAAATACCACCTGACTGTTGAGAAAAGTCACAACTTATTTCCCTTAAAGGACAAATTGGCTCCAGTCAAAAGATTTTGGCAGTCTTAAGTGAACAAACACCATCATGCCTTTGCTACAATTTAATCTTACCATCAGGAAGGAGACAAGTTTACAAAACCGTGGAACATCACAACAATAATGGAAAACAACACTTATAAAGCTCAAAATGGACACAAAAATGATGAACAGAAAATGATCTAAGGTAGGCCATGGAAAATTCTGACCTATGGTGGACACCAGGACATGAGGTACCTCATAACAACTTCAACTGCTCTGCAGCTGCAAGCTCCACCTCCACCCTTTTTGTTATCTGCTTTCATTCCTCTGGAGAGGAAAACAGAATTCTGTGACTTCAGGAGCTTTTTCCCACTAGGACCTCAAACTAAAACCAGTAGTGACTTTTTGCCTCCAGCTCGGATAGAGAAGGAGGGAACAGAACACGCAGGAGACACACTACTGTAGCGTACACCCAGCAGGAAACAGCACACAAAACACTTACCTTTTGTCATTCCCCCTCTTTCTTTCAAATTCACGTTTTCCTCTTTGGTCAAAGCCACCAAAACTTCTGTTTATTCTACCACCTCTTCCTCTATCTCGCATTCCACCTCGTCCTCCACCAAGACCTCTTGTTGGTCTTTCACACTCTAATCTTTCCACTGGCCTACAAAGATGACAACCAGTAAGATTTTTTTCCCTGCAGAACAGTGAACAAGGAGGAAAAAAAAAAAATCATATGCTTATATTTGTGCAGCTGTGGGACACGTCAGTATATAACAGCTACTGTACGGTTTTTAGAGGGCATCTTTTTACAGCACACAGTGCAGTTGTTTCAGTTTTGTCATTAAAAATGGACATTGACTGAATACAGGAGGAATTATTACAACAAACGGGAACAGAAAGATCAGCTGTTTCTTGGTAACACTGAAAACATCACAGAAGTTAAAGAAAACATTATAAAACTGTCAAATCTTCAGTAACTTTATTAGGCAATAGCTCCCCTGTCTAAATCCAGATTTAGACGCAATTACTAAAAATTTCAGCCATTTTTTTAAGTACCAACTATTGTGATGTAAAGGAAGAACAGCCACACTCTGAAGCATTAAAGGTTTAGTTGGAATTTCCTACTACTTATGAAGAAAGCAAAATTGATATGCATTCACTGTCCAAGCAGTAAGTAATATGACAAAGGTCTGTTTTCAGTTTGAACAGTTAAAGTCATTCAACTTGGAACCTGACCACATGCTCTGCGAAGCTTGGCATGTGAGCTCAGAAATGAACATTACTAATATGTTGCAGACTAAGTGTTACATTTTTAGGCCTTCACACTTCAGTTTCATCTTAGATTTCTGACATTTAACAAAACCGCTCCAAATCAACACACAAGAAAGCTGGAACTGCAGCTGTGACAGGCATGAGCCAAATCCTGCAACAAATCTACACACTAATAATGCGTAGATCATGCCTTCAAATCATGCCTGGCTATTAGAAGAAGTAGCTTTTTAAGAAGGTGATCACTTTTCCTTCCCACTCCTGTGCAGATCCTCCTCATGACACATACTTTTCCACTTGGAATTCCACTTGTCTTTGTGCTCCATCAGGACGATATTCCCAGAAAGATGGTCTCCACGCAGCCTTGTCCTGTTTCACCTCTGCTCCTCTGTTGCTGAAGCCTTGCTGTTCTCCCCACCAAGGTGGTCGCTTCTGGCCTGCACAGATACACACAGATCACCAACAGCTCATCAGTAACTGTAGTAGTTTAGTCTAGGCCTTCCTTGGTGACCAGTTTATAACCAAGGAAGTGCCAATATTACCCAGTATTCTCTACAATTTTTACATAAGCCAAGAGTATAAGAACAAAGGAGGAGAGGCCTTTGGTCTCTTTTTTCCTTCCAGTGGCTCTGAGGGTGCAGATTTCCTGCTGTTGAGTCTGTTGTGTTGGGGAGTGAGGCCTGGTGAGACCTGGTGAGGCCTTGCCGACCCTGGGAGATGGAGGTTGCTGGCGGTCGTTCCAGCACGACTTTCTGTTGTCCCAAGGAGAGTAGTAAGATATTCTTTTGCTAATTCTTTAGTTTGCTAGATCCTGAGTTTCTGATCGTGTGTATATCTATTTTGGTGGGGTTTTTCCTTCCCTCTTCCCTTTCCCTTTTGAAATTGTACATATATATTTCAATTGTATATAAATGTAATATAAGTGTAAATATATTTATATATATTGCTTTGGCTGCCTCTCTCTCGTTTCGGTTCTCTTGGGTTTTTTTTTCTTTTTCCTTCGTTTTTGGGGGGGAGATCTTGCAGTGAGGTTTGGAGACTTGGCAGGGAGCCAGCTTCAAGAACCACCTCAGTAACTGCATTGCACTTACCAAACCACTGACTGAAAGGAGCTGATTACACTTTACACTCTTCAGATTTACCTTCTCCAACCTCAAGTCCACCAAAACATTAAAAGCCCTCATAGTTAATGTTGCCAGCAACTGTTTGAAAGACACTTCCTACCTCTTCTGTATTGAGGAACCTGCAAAAATACTCCAGGTTTTGACGCAGGTCAGACATTTCCAGAAAAGACGGTCTAGAGAAAAATCTAATTTTGCTCACATTAAGTCATAGAAAAGGAGAACAAAAACTGTTTCGTGTATAGTGCAGGATGAGGCAGAGAAGCTTCAGTGGAAAAGAGTAATTGCATGATGGCTACAGGAGCAGTGAACGAGGGCAAGAGGAGGACCTTTAAAGACAACGTTGATCATGAAACCACACACCTGACAGACGAGCTCAGTTTTGCAGTCTGAGCCTTCCACTCTACTTTAAGCTCCTGGCTATGGTATCTAACAACCAGAGCAGGGTCACTGCCTTTTATTACTGTTCTATGGAGAAAAGGATCACTCACCAACACTACAGGGCACTGAGTTTAAGTGGCAGAAACCCAAGCAGTGAGTAGAAAGGCCTCAATGCCACTAATTCTAGAATGTCAACATATTTCACCATAAAATATATTTTCAGACTTTTAGGGTTTTGGTCAGCCATTGTTGGGGTTAAGGAGGATCAGGATGGGAAGGGTGAATGGAAAGAAACTGTACACTGTAAGAGAGAATAAAGTGAGGTTTTCTACTCAACCTGTATACATCTAGCAGAAGATTAGGGTTCATTATGTGCTTCCTTCCCGATTTTCCCAAATTCTGTGCTCCATCTGCAACAAAAGTTCTCCAGAAGCAAGCAAGCCTTTTGCCTCCAAGGCCTCTATACTTACACTGAAAAGGGTGTTGGTTTAAGTCAATCAATCAAGGAACTACAAAAAGATGGCTCTCAAATCAACAAAACTGAGCTAACTCTGTCCAGGAGAAGCAAACCTGAGCAAATTACTGAACTCAAGTCACTGAACAAGTGACGGTCCTGGCTGCTGGCACACAGACAGAGTAAAGTCTATTCTGTGCCACAATATAAAGATGCAAATTAATTCACAGCTCAACAGAAATGACCACATAAGATCTCTGATCAAAGCCTCGGTGGCCAGAACAAAGCCTAACATCATCTTTCAAAAGAAAATTTCAAAGAACTATCCACTTAGTGAATAAGGAAGGAGAGAAGTAAATAAAGCGTTTTGTTATACAGTAACGACAGTCATATTTGTACACACAAGATAGTAATTCTCCTTTCTCAAGGTCTAGGACTACTCAATCCTTAGAGCAGCAAGCATGTTTGCATTCCCCAAATTACAATGTTATCTCTGGCTGAAGGACAACTTTTGAAATTGGTGTTTGAGTAGGCTTTTCAAACTAACACAAAGCAAAACCATAAAAAAAATACAGAATTGTACATCTGTCTGCTCTGCACACATCTCAGCTACACTACCAACCATACAAGTGTTATTTCCAAATTGGAATCTTGTTGTAGAAAAAATGACCACTCGTTTCTGAACTCATTTTTAGTTATTTTGTTTGGGTCTGAGTGCATGACTGCAACAGAAGACTGTATTTTTATTTATTTTTTATCCTCTCATTGGCTGTCAGAAGTCTCAGTTATTCTAAAAAGATTTATTTGGCAAGAATGCAGTAGTCAGAGACCACCTCCCCTATGTACTTAGTATTAAGCTCAGCTTCACCTTCAGATTCAAAGAGCTCCTTAGAACCAGTAAAGCAATGCCGAAAAAAAAAAAGGTGCAAAAGTAATTTTAACAAGACAAGACTCTGGTTCTGTTACCCAGTACCATTTAGAAGTACTTCAAAACAAGCCCTCTTTCCAGATATGTCAGATATGACATGTCACTAGCACTGAACATTCTGGACAAAGCAGTCAGTTCTACTCCAATTTCACTGTAAGGCTGTTCCACTTTGATTCTAACAGGTGGCTACAATTACTGCAGATGGATTTTAAACACTAGAGAGATCATCTGTGGCATTTATTACCTGCATAAAAAAACCACCTGTAACTGGTTTGACAGACATGAATTAAAACAGTATGCAGCACCTATACCTCTCTAATAAGATAAGTCACGCCCAGGGCAGAAGTTTGTGTGACCTGCTTGTAAATCAGTTCAAACACAACTTTCAGCTCTGCACATAAGTGCAAACCAAACCTGGCAGCAGTGATAGCATAAACTGTACAATTATAGTCCTCTGCCATATGTATGTCCCAGTGTAGACTTATTTAAATTTATGGAGCTGAAGGGCCACCTACCCTTTAGGGCCAAAAAGGGGAAAAAAAAAACAGGCAAAAACCCCCAAGACAAAGTACGAGCAATCTTGTATAGCACTGCCACAGTAGCTTTCACTTAAAAAGAACTGGGCTACACTTCAAATGCTTATTAGCTACCTCTGGGAGTACACCCCAATTTTGTCTGCTTGTTTGCATATATAGACTGGTATGCAAGTTTTCTTCAAAATCACACAAAAAAGAAAAGCTTTGGAGTTTTGTGGGTCATCTGCTTGAGGTCTTACAAACATCACACCGGAAACTGAAGCTCACTCTTTCCTAGTTACCCAGTCTAGCCTCTCTTTAAAGTGTTTTTTCTCTGTCTTACAGTTACATCTGTAATCTGTATTCACCTGAAGATGCATCCCACCATTCTCCACTTCACTACAGCTTCCCTGGAAGGTTACTGCAGCAGCCTGTTCTCTTGGATAAGTTGCCTGTTGCTTTACTTTCTAGAGGAGGAATCAAAGAAATCTGATGCTTAAACTGTTTCAACAGACACAGCTTTTTTTTTTTTTTTTTTTAATGCCAGGAGAAGCAGCTTGAGCTATTGTTACGGGAGAAAACACCTATAAATACTAAAATTACAGGTACTAGAACTAGACACTGCTAAAGAAAAAAGCCTGGTTTTACAAGCTGTGGAGTAAAATCAGCACTGATGCAGACCTGCTAGTTTTGGTTTAACCCATAAATTAAAAAAAAAAAAAAAAAAAAAAAAAAGGAAAAAAAACCCCTCTCCAGCTCTAAAACAGTATCCTTCTTCCCAGGGAGATGAAAAGAGCATTCAAAACCACACAAGGTACAAGGAGTTTTGAGAGTAGGTGCATCACCATATAATACTTGTCTATTGCTCATGAAGAACAGATTAGATGAGGATGTACCAAAATATCACTCTGCATGACATTTTCAGGCAATTAAGCAACTTCCAAGCCTCAGCTGTGCCATCAGGAAGTAAAATATCTAGTATTAATATTAAAAAAAGGACAAAGATTAATAGACCCAAAACAGGTGCAGGCTATGGTAGAAATACCTTGACCAGCAACCAAGAAAACAATTGTAAGGAATATTTTAGGTACAGTAGGATACTGAAAAACCCAAATACCAAGTCTAGGGGCCTTAAGTAAACCATTGAAAGGAATTACCAAGGCAGAGGAAGTGGAGTCCAGAGAAAGAAAAGATTTTCCAAGCTATAAAAGGAACGCTGGTTCTGGGTCACCTGACAACTGTGTGTGCACCACATGAAGTGGAATTGATTCTTAAATGACATTCTACACAATCACTGTCCTCTCGAAAAACACATTGTTCTGAATTTAAAATCATTAATTCACCTACTATTACCCTGAAAAGATGTGATGTTTTGAATTCAGCAACTTCACTGTTTGTTCCTTCCAACAGTGTGCCACATCATGGTTGTTGTGAGGAGGTGTTTCTGTCCAGTCAGCTATGGGAAGATCTGCAAAATCAGCCTCCAGAGACCTCAGATCTAATCCTGTTCACCAATGGATCTTCATACCACATAAAAAGAGAACAACACACGGGTTGTGTAGTGGTGAGACACTGTGAGGTGCCTGAAACAGAACCTCTACAACACTTGGTGACTGCCCAAGAGGCCAAATTAATTGAATTAGCAAGAGCAGCCTGGTGGGAACATGATCAGCAAGTGACTATTTATACTGATTCTAAATATGCTTTTGGAGTGTGTCATGCAATGGGTATGCTATGGAAAGAATGAGAGTCCCTTACTTTAGCAGAAAATAATATTTCTAATGGATCTCAAATCCAAATGCTCTTGGTAGCCATTAGGCTTTCAAGGGAAATTCCTGTAGCACACTGTCCAGCTCATAAAAAAGGCTTCAACTGAATGCAACAAAAAAAAAAACCAAATCAAAACAAAAAGAATTACTCAGATTTGTAGTCAGACAGATTTATAATGGCCTCGAGTTTAGGAATAGCACTTCAGGATTTTATGCAATGTTGGGAAATACTCCTTGCCAGCATATAGGGTTGTCATCAATAAGAAGAGTGAATGGGAAGGGTCATAAACTGTCCTACTATGTACTTGTTTTGCTAAAGCTTTAAAGCTTTAGGATATTATGCCTATTGCTTGTAATAACACTGGATTGTAGTCAAATGCCTTGAAAGGCTTCATGAGTTCTTTTTGACATAACAGCAAGAAAGCTTAAAAACAAAGGGAGAACTGTTGTAAATTAAGTTTAGTTAGCTGAACTCTTTTAACTGGATTCTCTTACCAAGTAGTTTTGCTTACTAAAAGCAGCTAAAGTTGCTGCAGCTTTAGGCAGCAAGCTGCAAACTTTCACCTTGAAATGGTGAACTAGTCTTGTGCTATTGTTTAGCTACAATAAAGGGAGGCTCTGAGACCAGTGCAAACCAAAAGATTAAGAAGCCCTGACTATCAGCAAAAGCTGCAACCCATCCAGACAAAAACAGCTACAGAGAAAGAATGTGATAAGGAACAAGAAGACTCCAGGACAAGAAAATCTCCATTGGAATCAGAGGTGCATGTGAGGTGTGTGAAGTGAGTAAAGCACAGGTGCATGGGTTGTAAGGGTATAAAATCCCAGGCATCTCTTTGTCCTGGGTCCCTCTTGGGAAGCACCTAGCTGGAGTTGTACCAAGTGCAGTACCATTCAATTACTAATTTTTCCCCCTAGAAACTGGATGTCAGACTCAGCTGAGGGAAACCTAAGGTAAAGAAATTTATTTAACAACTTAATCTTCCTTTACAACAAAGCTGCAAAACTGGAAGTAGTAAAAGGCAGTTCACACTCTCAGGGATTTATTCTGCCATACTTCAGAGTGTGGTAGATTTAAGACTCCACAAACAATCTTACTTTCTCCCCTTTGAATGTGTGTGTCCACATGATTTTATTACCAAACTTCAATTAATTTTGTGAATTAAAGCATAGCTAATTACATGACTCGCAAAATAATAACAGAATGTCCCAAAATAACAAAAAAGGGCTTCAGCTACTGCATGCAACACACCCAAAAAGTCACATGGACCTAGACTTTATTCTGTGGTCTTCTGTTTTCATGTGTGCCAGTACTCACTGAATTACAGAACTGCCTACTACAGCTTTCCTCTAGAAAATCCTTATGACACTGTAGCTGAAAGAATGCTATCAGGATAAACTATTTAAAAATAAAAAAATTGCAGCCAGCCTAAGACAAAACTCCTCAGAAACTTGTCATGCCATATTAGCTAAAAATTCAAACACATAGTATTCAGAGGGACTATATATAAATGGTACCAAAGCCATCAAACACACACGAAAGAAGAAAACCTCTCAGAGGTATTAGCAACAAAAGTTTAGAGATTTCAAAAGAACAGAGCTTATTATGCATGATCAACAAATTCAGTTTGCCTGGATCGGTAAAGAATGCAAGCTCTGCAACTGGGCCTTTTGACTAAAGAGCAGGCAAATGCAGTTTGGTCACTGTGGTAAGAATGAACTGAGTTAACATTAAGAGGTGTAATTAGAAGAGAGTTGTAATACCTACAACCAGTCTTTACCCAAATCCTAATATAGTCTGGAAAAAAAAAAAATCACAAAAGAGTCAGTAAAAGACAAAAAAATACATCATTAAGGTCAAAAGTGTAGGTTTTGGTAGGCCATGAAATAGGAGTCCAGTTTCTCCTTAAAAAAGAAAGATTAAAAAGTTGTCTCCTTACAGTAGTGTCAATTCATATAGTAAATAGCTGGATTTTAAAAGTCAAACTATTGCATTACCTGGCAAAGTCCTCTGAAGAGGTTACTTCAAATTGAAATTATCTCCAGAAATTTAGTAAAAACTCCTCTGAAAAAGGCAGTGAGGAACTACATAAACAAAATGCCAACTTACAAAACTTTCTGAGTAAACCTTCCATTTTAACTTTGAAATATAACGCCACAAAAAAAGTTTCTCCAACTACTGTAACACTTTTTATATTACAAGACAGAAGACCAGGTGTGCTTTGAGTCTTTCTAAAGGTAAAGACACTTTTGTTCTGATTTAACATGTTCGAGAAATAATACTGTAATAAAACAAAAATCATGAAACTTTTTACAAGACTTTTTGTAATCCAAGTAATCAAACACTTGAGAAAAGACTGGAAGGGCTGTGTCTCTTCTCCCTGGAGAAGGCTTGGTAGAAGCCACATCACAGCATCCCAGCACTGGAAAGGCTACAAGGAGGATTAAGGCTCCTCTTCACAAGGGGTCATATGGAGATAAGAGGCAACAGTGGGAATAAGCTGCATGAGGAGAGATTTTTTTTTTTTCACTTCAACCAAAGCAGCACCAGAATCTGACTCAGCTGTTAAGGTGGGTCTAGATGCTATTTTATGGTGTTTAATTCCTAATCAGTGAATTTTAGTTATGCCCAAAATAAGGAGGAAAAAAAAATCAGTAAGAAAGTCTGGAAAGAAAGTCTTAAAATACAGTTTGGTGTGGGAGGTTTTGGTTTTGTTTGTTGTTTTGTTGTTGTTTGTTTTTAATAACAGTAATTAGTTTCACCGTTTAGTAATTTTAATCAATATTATTTTTTTCCCCAAGCAGAAGTGCACTCTTCTAGCAATGTGTCCATCATTAGAAGTTTTATGGCAAACTCAACTAGTTCGAGGACCTTCCCAAGAAGTCACTCATTCTCAACCATTAAGCTGATACTCCTCTGACCCTTTTACAGAATCCAGAAGCTTTCCAGTTGAACCCTGTGTAAAAAATCAACTTTGTATGGCCCAAATAAAAAGCTGACCCCCCACCTTACTGAAGATTTTTCCCCCAACACACCATTCACTTTATATTTGTCAGCTACACCATCACTGTGGAGTTGCCCTAACTCACAAAGTGATCTCTGCCCTACAGAGCAGACATGCTAAGACAGCACATCCAAAAAAAGAACACATAGTTAAGACCAAGTCTTGACTATCTACCCTGGTTTAGCATCCTGAGCAGTCCTTATTTCTTAACACACCCAAGGCAAACATAAAGCACACAAAAAATCCAGGATAGCCATTTTATTTTAAAAAAGAAAGTGCATTTTTCAGAAATAACTCTTCTTAAAACAAATGTTCATTCCCTTTGAATAAGGATACTATAGCCAACAGTCTTTTTTCCATTTTAAATTAGCAGGAAACGAGGTGCACATGTCTGATGTCTCTGTATGAGAAAATGTGTTCCTTAACACGAAGGTTAAGAATAGTCAAAGATACTCCACAGTGCCACTGTGTATTACCACAGAATTAAGACACTGTCTACAGACAAGCAGGAGGTAAAGGATCGTCTTCACATACTACCATGCTCCTAGTAGGTCACTGATAACCACCAGTCCCTGTTCAAGAACATTTTCATCAAAACTTGAGACTCTGCTGTTCGCTGAACAGGCTCCTACACCTTCTGTTGATAACCACAGCAAAGTACCTTTTAAATAAAATAAGCTGTTACTACTGTAAATATTGGTCTTACAGGCAGTGATCTCTGACAAAGTCACATAACTACAGAGGAACCTCAAAAAGATGAGTTTCACACAACTGTCCAAAGGGACAGTGACAATTTTTTGATATCATCCTAAGATGCTCGTTAGCCAGGACACGGAAAGAGTCCCTGCTCAACTAATTGCTGTGGGGAACAGTGTAACAACTGAGCCTAAGCAAGTGAATTGAAAGCACCAGTTACAACTTGATGAAGAAACCACACGGAATCAAAGGTCTTTTTCTAGGACATTAAAACACACAGTTCAATTATGGTGAATTTAAAAGAAGCCTTTACTACAGGAAGAAAATATCTTTATAATAGATTATGTGTTAAGCTTCATTGCTTGCTGCAGGAGAACAGCAACTTTAGAGGGTGAAACTAGAATCTTCAGTGCAGAGATTCTCCGTATTTGGAAACAATCAGCCAGCCCTTGGATACTTTAGATACTGAATCCAACAACCTGCAGCTCAGTACCAGTAGTAGTAACAATCAGACTCACAAAGACACCTCCAAATGCACGGAGGTGCAGCACAGCAAAGTCTTCAGCTGCAAAGAGGACTGTGCCAGACTTCTTGGTACAAAAGCTGACCAACTCCCTATTTCACCAACCAATATTACGCATCAGAACCTAGCAGCTGATATACAACCCCGGCCATCACTGAACACCGTGATGAAGAATTCACCCGGGAAATAAGGCTGGCACATCAATGCAAGATTCAGGTAAAATAAGCACAGATCCCTGGAGACGTTAGAACCCTGAAGACGCTGAAATGCCAAAAAACCTACAGGTACTGAGAAAATAAGCCCGAAAGCAACAAACACTTAAGGATAACGTCCAGGGCGATGAAAGACATGAACAGGGCTGCTAAACCAGCATGAAAGCTACAGGCGCTGCAGGGGAGGAGTTAATGCTCTTGCACTTGTCTCTTAGGGGCTATTGCTGAAGTTTTCATTTACACCTCCAAAGGCTGGGAGCAGGGCCACCAGGCTTAACACTACTACTGCCCTGTCCACGGGGGCTTCCAGGTGTGCCTTCACCACGGCAAACAAGGGTTTTATCAGCCCTGCCGTGACCCCGCTGCTCTGGGCACCGCTCCCGGCACCGCTCCCGGGCAGCCCGTGCTGCCCGCCCCGCCGTACCTGTCAGTGGCGGCTCGGCGGCGGCCGCGGAGCCCTCCGGCTGCCTGCACTCCTTCTGGCTCTCCCTCCTGCCCCCGGGCACGGCTCTGCCCCCGGGCACGGCTCTGACCCCGGGCACGGCTCTGACCCCGGGCACGGCTCTGACCCCGGGCACGGCTCTGCCCCCGGGCACGGCTCTGCCCGCCGCCGCCTCCTCGCGCTTCTCGCGCTGCTGCTGCTGCTGGCGGCGCTTGGCCTCGCGCAGGATGTCGAAGGGGTCCGAGTCGTCGTCCAGGAGTTCGTAGAAGCGATTGGCGACGGTGCAGCCGAAGCTCTCCTGCGCGACGGCGGCCACCGCGCTGCCCACCGCGCTGCCCACCGCGCTGCCCACCGCCCCGTTCATCGTGCGCGGGGGCGCCTCTCCCGCCCCGGCAGCCGCCACCGCCGAGGCTGCTGCTGCCGCGGGGCCGGAGCCGCGGGCACCACGTGCGGAGGAGGCAGAGGAGGAGGCGGAGGCGGAGGAGGAGGAGGAGCGGCCGCCGCTGCCCGGCCCGGCCAAGCCCTGCTCGGCCCGGCCCAGAGCTCAGCCCAGCCCTGCTCGGCCCGGCCCAGAGCGCCCCGCCCGCCCCGCCCGCCGGCCAATGGGGGCGCTCGGCCCCGCGGCCCCCGCCCATAACCACGGCCGGCCCCGCCCACCGCCGGCGCGCGAGGCCAATGGGAAAACAGAGCGGCCAAAGGGGCGCTGGGCCCCGCCCCCAACGCCGCGCTGCGGCCAATCAACGCGCGGCACCGGTCCGTCAATCACGGCTCCTGACCAATGCGGTGCCGAGCTCGGTCATTCACGAGGTGTCACTCGCACCCCCCCCCCCGCGGGAAGGCGCGCGCGGCGCCGGGACAGGGAGCGCGGGAATGTCCCGCGTGAGGGAGGCACTGGGCGTTCCGGCCCGAACCTGAGCACATACACAATCTTGGAGTCTTCGGACTTTTTCTACCACTCGTGGGATCCAGAGAGGGACTGCAACCACCACTCTCAACCAGACTGAGACCACCGCTCTCACCAACAGGTTTTCCCCTCTCCTTTTACTTTGGACTCAGAGGGCACAAAGAACACCACTCTGTTCATGCCCCAGGGTGCTGGGTTATACATTTGGGGTTTGTGGGTTAAAACCAGTTGTTTGTCTGTATAATCGTATTTATCGTATCATTCCATTTAATTGTTGTTCTGACTTATAATCTCTCTTTTGAGTTGGGTTCATTTCCCCGGCCAGTTTACCTGTAAACCAGGACACCATCACATACATTTTCCAGCAATGCAATTCTACTGAACAAAATTAACTACATGAAGCCTTAATCCGAACAGTAACAAGCTACCTCAGCAGAGATGGACATGCTGATACCAAGCACTTGTTGAGGAGCACACCTGGTGCCAGCAGCTCTGCACATGAGCTGGGCATTGTGCCCTGGCTGGAGCCCCAGGAAAGGTGGCCAGTCATCCAGAGACCCTGCAGGACCCAACCAGCAACGAGAAGACCCCAGGTGTTGATATACTGATTTGACAGAAAGAAAAACTTGGAAGATGTAATAAAAAAGACTCAGATAAAAGATACTACGACTAATGATAAGTTACTACATAAGTCCATAACATACAATTAAGTCACATGCAGTGTGGTTAAGTATTTGCTATTATCTATCTAAAGGCCATCACCTTCTCAAAGTTTTCTGAATTTTGAAATATCACTAGAAATGGTTGAAGCACACTTTAGAGAGGCAAAGTAGCTATTTTCATTTTCATCTGTCATGTGTTTGTGTTCTGTTTCAGGGAGTTAGCTGTTGTTTTTATTTCAGAGTTTATTATCCCAAAACTCCATAGTCATCAGGTCCTTCTTGAGTCTAACTAGCTGGATAGAACACAGGAACTTTTTCCCTGCTTTCTCTTGAACCCTTGCTCCCTATCCTTTTACAATTCCTGTATTATGTCACTGTGACAAAAAGTAAACTTTGTTGTAGTAAGTAGGATTTGATCTGACTGCAGGTTGTATCATGTTTAATTATCTCAGTCCTTCACCTCTCAAAGAGGACTTTCTCTTTTTTCTACACTAAAATATTAATGCTTTAATACATTAAGCCAGTAGCATAGCATCAAAGTATTATAAAGAACAAACATATTTAATATTGCTAAGACACTATAGCTCAGATGATTCTTTAGACCTTTTTTTACATAATGTTATATGAACTGTCACTTTAATTCCCTGTGTAGTGACAAGCAGTGTGTTTTATGCCCTTTAAGCCACACACATTCTGTGTGCATGTTTCCTCTTCCAGGAGCAGGATCTGGACAGCAAGGTAACTTCTCTCTGATTATTGTTATTACTACGTGAAACACTATTGTTCAAAACAGTTAAAATATCACAAGTGGCATCAACTCACTTCTTCCCTCTCTTGTGTTTCCTCCATGAACAATTTACAAGATCCATGTAAAGAAGTTAATCTTCTGCCAAGCCCTTGAATATCATCACAAAGAACAATGGGGTGGCACAGGTTAAACAGGGAGATATTCAGTTGCTCACAATGCACTGCACCATTTCCAGTGCCTACAGTTCTGTGGACCAGCTCATAACATTAGTTCCATCTGTCCATCTGAGTTCTTCAGCAGCTACATACACTGTTGAAACATCAGGCAGGTAATTTTGGAAAATCATGAAGGGTATTTGCAGTTTGGTTTTTGGGATGGAATTATTTTAACATGGGTCATTTTTTCCCCCCAGTAGATTTAACATATCTGTCTGTATTACCAGAACTGTTCACAGTGGGTTATTTTCAGGGCTGAAGGTTTTTAAGGGGGTCAGATCCAAGCATATGGAAACCGGTTTCCTCATTCTGGAAACAAGTGTTGCAAGTTGCAGCATTTTCTTTCTCGCCTGGTAATCATGGCCTGAGCTGGCACAGTAGTGGTAGGACTTTAACAAGTAACACTGACTGTGAGAAGCTGGAGTATTGTTACTATGAATAAGAATTTGACTAAGCAAACATTTGAGTTAGTTTAAAAGGACAGTTGTGACAAACCAAACTAATTCATAATGAAAGGGCTGCCAATCTCAGGGTGGATAGTTAATACTGCAGTCCAGTACTACAGCCTTTCTGTACTCAAAGAACTGGTGTAGTCATACGGTGCAAAATTGGTCTTCCCTGCACTTTCCTGTTCCTGTCAGCAGTGATGGTTGTGCCAACACTCCCAGAAACAGTGGCCTGCAGCATACAGACTGTGGTGAACATAACTGAGCAGGGCAAAAATCTCACCATTTTTACATCTCTGTGGATTGTCTGTTGTCGCCGGGACAGAGAGATTTCTGTGAACAATTTTTCCTGCACGCTGTAGGCCTTGCTTGCCATGGAAGTGTCAGGCGTGTGTTGTTTATACTTACAGACTGTGTGAAAATATGTGATGCTTATACTTGTTAGCTGGGTGTCTAATTATAAGGTTTGAGAACATAACATGTTTATAGAAAGAAAACCTTGAGAAACTGAAGATAATGAAACACCTGCAAATTTAGTAAAACCCTAAAAGCAGGTTAATTAGAAAGAGGTTTCTATGCCAAGGATGATTTCAGATCACATGGACAGAACATCAGGTCCAATGAACTGGAGACATGAGATGCATGCACAGACTGAGCTATCCAATCACCTCCTTATAACCATGTGTCCCAAACAAACTAAACTGTATAAAAGTTAACTGATTTAAATAATAAATTGACATATGCCGACCATAATGGCCTGTGAGCATTATGTTCACGCCTCCCCATCGATAGTCTGTGCTCCTGATATTGGCCTCCAAATTTAGCTATTCATCTAAGAAACAGGATTTAATTCTTTCTCAGGCCATAACTAGTCAGTATGATTCACTGCAGTGGTAAGACACTGAGGCAAAGGGAGCATGTTGATGTAACACTACTAGTCAACTTCAGCATAAGAGGCCCACATCAAATGCCATTAATGTGCTCCTGCTTTAGAACAGCGAGTTCTATTGCTTAAAAAAAAAAAAAAACAAACGTAGAAAACCAGCATAAAATAAATGAAGTACTGCTGTCTCTGATACAGCTAAATTCTTTTCAGTTTCAAGTAACCAGAGTTCCAAAGGATTCATAAAGTAGGCATGGTGGCTGCTTGCAGATTTAAAAACTGAACTTGTGTTTTCACCAGCTGTCAGAGGCTGAAATGGTTGATGATTTATGCATTCTAGGAGACTCCTGCAGGATTTTGACCTAGGCTTGTCAGTCCCTCCAGTGAAGAGCCAAGTTTGCAGGCTTTTGACTTTCGCATTATACCTCTGATGGGCAGTTGGGCCCATCCCTCCCTCCAGTGCTGAAGGTGTCAAGCCCTGAAAAGGCAGGACTTCTGATGGCCCATCAAACCCCCGTTCCCCCCTCTGCCAATCTAAAGGGGCACAAAAACTCTGCCAAGACCCAGGGAGAGTTTGGAGGCTCGAGGCATGGCCCGTGGCACTGACCATGGATATAATAACTCATAACTTCTTGGTGTGTGGGGGCTTCCCTCCTTCACCCCCAGCAGATCGAGGCCACCACTTCAACTGACAGACATGGAGGCTATAACTACCAAGTGTCATCGCTGGACCCCGTGGGTGGTGACTATAGACATCTGTCCACTCTCAGCTTTTCTTTTTCCTTACTCTCCCTTACTCTTATCCTGTCTTTCTCTCCCCTATGCATTTTCTCCCCCCCTAAAGGTTATCTCTGTGTCTTATTGTTGTATGACAGCACCCAAACTGCTGGCATGCCTGTTGATACAGAATTGTTAAAATAAACCTTGCCAGTATATGTTTTCAGACACCAATTATTCAGTGTCTTTTCACTCTAATCCACCCCAAGGGAATTATTGATAAAAACCTGGGTTACTCACCCTCCCCTTTTCCTGGGGCGGGTCATAACACCAGCTAAAGCTGGACCAGTGTCACTGTATTTCCAAATCGCTCCTAAGTAACACCAGTTCTTCCACACATGGAACACACAGCTCTTACACAGGTGAGTTAAAGCTGACACAGAACAAGGCTGTGGGAGCCTTGCACCCAAGCAGACCTGCAGCCTCCCTTTTTGGGGTAACAGGCTGCACAATTAGACTGGGTCTTGGTTTCAAGGGGCACAGGCTGGAAGACTAGATTTAAGATGCCATTTTAGTTAATCACAGTGTATAAATGCCTGAACAGCTATAATAGATTGGGAGGGGAAAAAAAATTAGAAAAACAAAACAAAACAGCCAAAGACCTCCACCCCTCAAACACAAATATACTAAAACTAGTGATCTGCACAAACTTCACGGAGTCACAGAATAATCAGGGTTGGAAGGGACCTCTGGAGAGCATCTACTCCAAGCCCCCTGTCGAGGCAGGGTCGCCCAGAGCAGGTTAAATAGAAACGCATCCACGTGTGTTTGGAACGCCTCCAGAGAAGCAGAATCCACGACCTCCCTGGGCAGCCTGTTCCAGCGCTCTGCCACTTTCAGTGGAAAGAGGTTCTTCCTCATGCTGAGGTGGAAGTTCTTACGTTTCACTTTATGGCCACTGCTCCTCGTCCTGTCGCTGGGCACCACTGAAAGGAGTCTGGCACCACCCTCTCTAAACGCCACCTGCACGAAGAACCTGCCCGTGCAGACGCCTCCTGCCCACTCACAGCCCCGGGGCCGCAGCCCGCAGCTGTACACCCGCGGGTGCCTCCCGGCCGCGGGCAGCGCGGCTGGAAGGGGCGTCTCTCCACCAGCGCCATAACGGCCGCGCCGCCCCGGCAGCGCCCGCGCTCGCGGGGCGCCCTGTCCACCGGCGAGGCGGCGGGGACGGGGACAGGGCAGGGCAGGGCAGGGCAGGGCAGGGCAGGGCAGGGCAGGGCAGGGCAGGGCAGGGCAGGGCAGGGCAGGGCCTACCGGCCGCCGCAGCCCGCGCCCCCCCAGCCCGGCGGCGCCGCCGTGTCCGCGGCCCCTTTAAGGCTCTGGGCGCGCCAAGACCCCCGCGCGCCCGGGACCGGCCCCGCCCACGGACAGAGCGCGCCAAGGCTGCCCGCGCGCGCCGGCCCCGCCCCCCGCCGCGCCGGGCCAATCAGCGCCTCTCGCGGGGCCGCCTGCCCAATGGGATGGCAGCAGTCGCGGCGCCGCGCTCTCGGGACCCGCCTCCCGGGGCGGGGCCGCCGGCTTCCTCGACTCGCGATTGGCCGGCGGGAGCGCGCGCCCTGTGACGCTCGCGCGCGGTGATTGGCTGCGCTCGGGCGCGAAACGTAACGCGGGAAAAGCGGCGGGTCGGGCAGGGCGGCGGCGGCTCCTCCGGGCGCGCGGCTCCGGTAGCGCTTCGGAAAGGTGCGGACGCGCTGCCATCGCTTCGGCCCCGCCGCCGCTAGGGCCGGGGGCCGCCGCTGACGGCGCAGGTCTGGTCGGGGGTGGCCGCGGAGGCGGAGGGGCGCGGGGGAAAGGCACCGAGAGCGCGGGGGGCCGCCGTCCCGGTGATGAGCGGCTGAGGCGGAGCCGCGCGGCGACAGGTGGCGGCGGCTGCGGGACGTCCGTGCGGCTGCACGGCCCGGCGCGGGTGGCGGGGCCGTGCCCTCCCTCTCACCGCGCTCCCCTCGCCGCTGCCCGCGAGCGGTCGGTGATGGCGGAGCGGCTGCCGCCGGGAGCCCCCTCGGTGATTTTTTGCCAGGACTCGCCGAAGCGCGTCCTGGTCTCCGTTATCAAAACCACCCCGATCAAACCCTCCCCGGCGTGGGGCGGGGGCGAGGAGCCGATGCCCGTCCCTCCGGTCCCCACCAGCCCCGGCTTCAGCGACTTCATGGTCTACCCGTGGCGCTGGGGCGAGAACGCGCACAACGTGACCCTCAGCCCCGGCGGCGGCGACAGCACCGCCGGCCCCTCGGCGCTGCCGCCGCCCCGCGGGGCCGCGGGCAGAGCCCCCGCCGGGGACGAGGAGCCGGCGGAGAGCGGCGGCCGCCACCGGCACCGCAAGGTGAGTGCGGGGAGGGGGAACCCGCGCGCGCCGCCCGCGCCTCCGCCCGGGCGTTAAAGGGAGGGCACTTCCGGCAGCGGGGCGCGCCCGGGCTGAGCGGGACGGGGTCGGATCGCGTCCATGGGGAGCGCCCGTGCTCTGCCATCCCAGCGGCAGGGCTGTGTCCAGCACAGGGCTCTCAGGGACAGGGAGCTCCTGCAGCGGGCCCAGCACGGGCTGCGAGGGTGGTCAGGGGACAGGAGCATCTCTCGCACCGGGAAGGGCTGAGGGAGCCGGGCCTGTTCAGCCCTGAAAGGAGACGCTGAGGAGACCTCATTAAAGTGTGTAAATACCTAACGAGGATGACAAGAGGACGGAGCCAGGCTCTGCCCGTGGTGCCCAATAACAGCACAAGGGGAATGGGCAGAAAGTGATGCACAGAAAGTTCCACCTGAACATGAGGAAGAACTTCCTTACCGTGTGGGTGACCACACACCGAACAGATTGCCCAGAGAGGGGTGGGGTCTCCCTCACTGGGGATATTCCGGAACCCTCTGGACACAATCCTGTGCCCTGTGCCGTGGGATGGCCCTGCTGGAGCAGGGAGGTTGGACCAGGTGACCCGCTGTGGCCCCTTCCAGCCTGCCCCATTCCGTGGTTTTGTTGCCGGTTCCTCCCCGTGATGGAGTGCTGGCAGTGCCTGGCATCTCCCCTGCTGCCAGAGCCCAGCCACCAGGAGTGAGTTGGGGATGGGCTGGACATGGCCTGGGCTGTTTCTGTGCTGTCACAGCACCACTGTCACCATCCTCAGTGCTGTCACTCCGGGGCGTGCTGTGCCTGTTGGCCACACGGCAGAGTGGGGAAGGTGCTGGAGTTTAGTTCCCTCATTATTTACGCCCAGGATGGGATCAAACGTGGCCGGCCGAGAGCAGACACCGTCCGAGACCTGATCAGTGAAGGAGAGCACTCCTCCAGCAGGATACGCTGCAATATCTGCAACAGGGTCTTCCCACGAGGGAAGTCACTGCAGGCCCACAAGCGCACTCACACGGGTGAGTAAAAGGGAGGGGTGCATTGCTGGGCTGAGCGCTTGGGAAGCAGCAGGGAAGGAGTTAGAACCCTGCAAACAAACCACAGAGGAACTCCCCAACACTTGGCCTGTTAATATGTTATTGTAACTACTAATTTAATCATATTTTATTTTCAGTGCTTGTTAGTCACTCACAGTCTTTGTAGCTGTGTTTGTCGTGCTGAAGTGTAACAGCAATTTGGGCTGTAATAGTGTAGGCAAATTACAGAAATATTTTATCTGTTGCAGTCACAGACCTGCTTTGTAAGAGGGAGAACTCTTTTTGAGCTTGGTGCTCTGCACTTGAGCTTGGTAGCTCTTTGTATTCTGACTTCCCCTTCTCTGTTATTTTTTCCCTGTTGCTGTTGTGTTTTGCACACCGAATTGAAGTTTCCTGTAAGAGGTTACAGTAACTTAGAAAGTAGATGGCAACTTCAGCACTGTAACACCCTAGAAGTGCAGTTTAAATGTTGAGAAAAGAGTCCACCTGCTTAAAATTAGCACCCAGTTATTTTTTCCCAACATCTAGAATTCATTTTCTTGGGTCATGCTAATTCTCTGAGCAGTATTTAGTAGGCAGCTTGCAGTTAAGTGAAAATGTAGGATGAACTCGTTCAGCTGGGCTTGAACTGGAGATACTGTTGGTTTAGGCTTTTCAACCAAGCAAATACCTTTTTTTTTAAATTCATGTTTCAACAGCACTCTGTATTTGCAGTAAAGTGTGAAGTCATGTAGCTCACAGTACAGACACAACCATCAGCACTCCCCCCAAGCCAAGCAAACAAAATCCCACAGAAACCTTGGCTCCCACCTTCGCTTCTTCTGATTCAAGGCCCTACAACTAATCTAGATAATGAAATTAAACAGCAGTTTCCTCATGGGTTTTGGTCAAAAGACATTATTATTTCACTTGGTTGTACAAGCTGTTGAACTTGAAAGAACTTCTTACCTGAGCAGAGCTTACCCTGGTGTCATTCCTCCGGGTCACCTCTGTTTGGTCTCCTTCCTGAGGAGCCCTCTCGAGGAAGGAGACACTTGCTGCCTTGTTTTGTCTGATTGCAGTTTGCATGGAGAAGTCTTCCTTGGTGACTTTTCTAAGAAAACTTTGTTGACTTAAGTCTGGAATAAGCTTCTCCTGCAGCCTGCATTGTTATGACTTTTCTCAAAAGTGAGACTTTCGCCTAATGAGAGATTTCTGCAACCTTGTATGTTATTATAATGTTGACCTCAAGTATTTCACCCTAGTTCAGGCTATGTTAAGGATAAAATTTCTCTGGTTACAATTTGAATTACATCACTTGTCCATTTACTTCCTGTATTTCTTACTCTATAGGGGTCCATAGTTTCACTGGACAAAGCTTATGTGGTGTTATCTAAGAGTCTTAAATCAGAAAACATGACAAGGGAAAAAAATATTTTTTTTCCTCTCTGGAAATAAGTATATTGTCCAGTAGCATAGAACATGTACTTCAGAGTAAACCAGGACTTCTTAAGTAGTTGCAAGTGTCTGAGTGGCTAACAGGAGAGCTTGCTTGTGTAAGTCTCATGCCAGGGATCACCACTGGGTACTATGACTCATAGTCAGCTTTCATAAATCTCTGTTCATTATTTTTAAGGTGAAAGGCCCTATTTATGTGACTACCCAGATTGTGGGAAAGCCTTTGTACAGAGTGGGCAGCTCAAAACTCACCAGCGTCTCCACACAGGAGAGAAACCATTTGTCTGCTCAGAAAATGGTGAGTCATCAGAGAACAATTTGCAGCTTTCTAGGGTCAGACCAATACTGGAATTGTGTACAAGTTCACTTGGCAAAGATACATTAAAGCCTTCGAGTTTAATTTTGGTGGAACTTCTGGGGTGGTTCTGCAAATATGTATCTAAGGATTGCATATGTTCTCTGTCAATAGATACTAACTTATAAAATGACAGGACGTATTATGAACCTTGCAACTTTGTTTTCAACCAAACCTAGGGTTTTTGTGAATGAGGAAGGTTGGATTCAGTGGCATCTTCATCCCACAGATGTTATGCTTAGTCACTGGTTGGCTGCTTTCCATAACGTGTTCTTCATTTTTGCTTGGTGTTTTTAAGGCTGTTTGAGCAGATTCACACATGCAAACCGTCACTGCCCAAAACATCCCTATGCCCGGCTGAAGAGGGAGGAGCTCACAGACAGGCTGACCAAGAAGCAGACGGCTGACAATAAAGCTGTGGCTGAGTGGCTAGCAAAGTAAGTTCCCTCAGGATGTCACATTCCTTGAAATACTTATAAGGTTGGTCTGACAAAGCATTTTATTCTTCAGAACAGTAAAACCCCAACAAACCAAAACTATATGCTCCTCCAGTACATATCAGCCCTCCTTAAAGGAGTCTGAACTCCTTTAAGACAAAGTTCCTCATGAGACTTTTTTTCTTCCAATTTTGTTTTGGTTTTGCTCTCTGCTTAAATGCTCTTCTTTGCTTGATCAACCCCTGCTAATATCTTGTTAGTGCTACAGTTGCTGAATTTGCCCTTGTATGAGGGGCAACAACTGTGTTTGCCTAGGGAGAAATGCCTGCTGGGAATACCATGTAGAGGAGAAACCTGTCACAGATATTCACTTGGGCACTTCACACTTAAAATACTGAATAAAGAAGGTTTCTGACAGCATAAATACTGTCCTATAAGGGCTGAAAGATAAAATCAAATGCAGTGCTTAGTCGGATGCAAATCAGTACTTGGGGAGGATTTTGGCAGCTTTGGATTGTTGTCAGGTGTACTCATAGAATCATAGAATCATCTGGGTTGGAAGGGACCTCTGAGATCATCAAGTCCAACCCTTGATCCAACCCCGCTGTGGTTCCCAGCCCATGGCACTGATGCCACATCCAGTCTCAGTTTAAAAACCTCCAGGGACGGAGAATCCACCACTTCCCTGGGCAGCCCATTCCAATGGCTGAGCACCCTCTCTGGAAAGAAATTCTTTCTAATATCCAACCTAAACCTCCCCTGGCACAGCCGAAGACCCAGCCCTCTTGTCTTGCTGATGGTTGCCTGGGAAAAGAGACCAATCCCCACCTGGCTCCCCCTTCCTGTCAGGGAGTTGCAGAGAGTGAGGAGGTCTCCCCTGAGCCTCCTCTTCTCCAGGCTGAACAGCCTCATTGCTCTCCTCTGGACCTGCTCCAGGAACTCAATATCCTTCATTTGACAAGCGTTCCCCACATTTGGTGTTACAGATACTGGGAGACCAGAGAACAGCGTGCTCTTGCTTTGAAGACCAAAGCAATGCAGAAAACGGACCAGGAGCAGCAGGACCCGATGGAGTATCTCCAGTCTGACGAGGAGGACGATGAAGAGAAGAGCAGCTCTCACTCAGCCGCCTGCCTGCGCCGGCTGCAGGAGCAGCGCGAGCGCATGCACGGGGCACTGGCTCTCATCGAGCTGGCAAACTTAGCCGTGGCACCCCTGAGACAGTAGATGGGAGCAGTCTCTGCCTACACAAAACATTACCTGCTGGTGTCACTTAACCAGTTAGATCCCAAGCATAAGCTAAGCACCTTATTTGCTTATCATAGGCTGCTATTCTGTAGAATTTATGAAGAATGTTGTTGCCCCCGTAACGTGGGGTGAGAGAATTGCACTTTTGATAGATAGAAGACGTATGTAAAGTTTATAAGTGTTTTGTAAATATAGGGTTGACAAATTTATGTGTCTTGGGAAGCTAGATTTTGCAAGGTTAACTCATTTATTTGGAGCAGTTTTCACAGGAAGCACTTTCTGAACAAAGTATTCACAATTAGCAGAATGGTACATGTGGCCAAAGAAGGCTGACAAAAAGAAAAGCATTTATCTGACTATTTAAGCAAATTTATAAAAAGCTATAGGTCTGGGGATACTGTTAAACAGCAACAAAACTGTGTTTTTCTAATGTCAGTATGTCTTTACCTAGTATCACCAAGGTGAAAGGCAAAAGTTAATCATCTCAACTTGCAGTGGGAAAGGAACTGCTTCGTGCAGGAAATCCTAAGGTTGTTCAGTATCTTCACTGTGACTGCTCAAGGTATGAGACTTGACTTTGCTGCTTTACATTTTCTGATTTGATTTCAGCAGAATCTCTTGGTAGCACTTGTTATTCCTAACATGTTGGGAACTTTTGCACATTGTTTTGTCTGAAAATGATTAGTCTTGCAAAGTCTAGACAAAGTTAAACAATTGGTAATATTTTTTCAGATGTTTTTTGACCCTGTAGTGGTTTGGCACTTGATTTTGTTGATAAAGGGGGTATTTACAGGGTGGTATGGATTTCTAGTTAACTATTCCAGATCTTCTATTAGCAAACACTAAGTTTTAAAGTATTGCTTTCATATGATGATCAGCAGATATGAGCCTCCGTACTTTCTGTGCCTAAAGCCACCTTACTGCTTTATTTCAGGATAACATGCCAATTTTGTGTTCACTAACCATAGCACAGCTATCAGTTAAACACTGCAGGAAAGTATTCACTATACAACTAGAAAATAGGCTTCCAAAGATAGTTACAAGTGTGTTAACAGTGGGATTTCATATATTTCCCAAAAAAATGAAGTTACAGAATGCTGCCTAGTACTCAGATGTTGATATAAAATGTTTAACAGGGTATCTTGTCGCTTTGAGAATGCTGTGTACTTTTCAGTAGCATCGTCTCATGGTGATCTTTTTCCATAATTTTCTTTGAAGGCAGCCAGAGATTCCTAATATTCTAACAAAACTTTGTTTTCAGATTGGACTTCTTGTTGTGTGGTTTTGTTGTTGGTTGTTGTTATGAAGCTACTGCTTAAGGGGATATTAATAATGTGAATTT